TTTTATTAAAATATGATTGACAGAATACAGACAATTCTCCCGCACCAGAGGGGTGGTCCAGAAAGGCCAGGTTGTCAAAGACCGGAGAGTGGGTGGTAGTGTTGCTGAATTGAATGGGCATGGGAGTCCTAGATCAACAAATGGGGGCTCATCTTCTGAACCTCACTGCCTCCCGCTAATCTAATCTCCCTCTTCTTCAGGATACCAATGGCTCTGAGGAGAAGCGGAAAAGTGTGCTGGCCTCTACTGCCAAGTGTGGGGTGGAGTTTTCTGAGCCTGCCTTAGCTGCCAAGCGAGCTCGAGAGGAGAGTGGGATGGTGCCCCTCATCATCCCGGTGTCTGTCCCTGTGCGGACGGTGGGTCCAGCTGAGGTGGCCCAAGTGGGAAGTGATGAGGATGGGAAGGGTCTTGAACAGTACCCCCCTGAGCACAAGCCATCGGTCATCGTTACCCGCAGGCGGTCCACCCGAGTTCCCGGGACGGATGCTCCAGCTCAGGTATGAGGCTGCTCGCCAAAATCCTCCCCAATGCCCGGAGCTTCTCGCGACAAAGACTCCAAGGGAAGCAGTAGATGCTTCGAGTGTCCAGGGAGATACTATTTTCTTTCTTCATTTTATGTCTGTTTACCACATGCATGCAATGTCCAGGAGACAGCGTCAGATCCCCTGGGACTGTAGTTGTAGACAGTAGGAGCCAGCATGTGGGTACCTGGAATGGAATGCTGGTCCTCTGGAAGAGCATCCAGGGCTCTTACCTACAAATCCATCTTTCCAGTTGTCAGGGAATACTATTTTTATTTTTCAAATCAATCTGTACTAAGGAACATAGAGGGCATGAGACCGTTTCATACCTGAAAGTGTGGTCACTGCAGAGAATCTAGGATGTGAATCTTTTTCTTGTTGATGGCTCCTAGTGAAGGCCCTGAGCTCGCTCCTGAGGTGCAGAGGTGTTTGCTTGTTCTGTTCAGTTCTGAGCTAAGCACCTTGGAACCTCCCACTAAGACTGCAGTCTTATTTTGTCTTTTGCTTCTGTCCTTGTGTGTTTTGATAGGCTGTTCTGGGTGTGTACATGTTCAGACCTGGATGAGAGTGTGAGAAGTTTCTCTTCATCTTTCGCATCGTTTGGTGTTTAGCATGTCTTTGATGAGCGTTGGCCACACATATCCTTCTTTCCTTCCGCTTTCATCTTCTCTGTGTCCTTCAGGAATATTTTCAAGTCGTATACAATCGCGGTTTGCCATTTTCTAGCCTAACAACCTTTGTCTTTTAATAAGAACATCAATACAATTTTCATTCTTCTGTTCACTTACTAATAAAAGTTGTATGCATAGTCTGCAATATGATGCTTTGTATGTGTGTGTGTATGTAGTCAATATGTGTGTGTTTGTATGTATGTATGTATGTAGTAGACCTGCTAAACCAAGCTAATTAGCATAATCACTACCTAACATCCTTATTTTTTTGTGGTGGGAACATGTAGGATCTGGTCTCTTAGCAGTATTTCTAAGAGAAATATGGTTCGTGTGAAAGCCATTGTGGTACAGTAGGCCTCTGAAACTGTTTCCTTTGCTCAGCTTCCCAGGCCGCACTCCTGCTCTAGTCCTTGACAGCAGCCATTCTACGGTCTGCATGGAGCTCTACTTTTCTAGACTCCACTGATAGAATCTCTACTTAATGTAATTACTGAGATTCCGTGGTTGAACTCTATCACCCGCTGTTAACGCTCTGTTTACATCATCCTGTCTTTGCTGTGATCTGCTCCCCCCCACCATGCTTTATTAAATTGACTGGGGTGGTTGCTCCTATCTCCCCTTTGTTAACTACGTATAATTATTTCTCTTTTAGTGGTTACTTTAGTAGGCTTCTTATTTGGATTTCTGCATAGTGACCCAGCCACAGCTTCTTTTAACAAAGCAGGCTAGCTCAGGAGCGCTTTGTACCAGCTCCCAGCACAGAGCTGCTCCTGATACTTCTGCTGCCTTTCCTTCCCCATTTGCTTGTTTATATGTGAATGGGTGTGCTGCCTGTAAGTAATGTAAAGTGTATGGGCCTGATGCTCATGGAAGCCAGAAGAGGGTGTCAGGTCCCCTTGGGACTGGAGTTACAGTTAATTGTGGGTGCTGGGAATTGAATCCGGGTCTCTGGAAGAGCAGTCAGTTCTCTTTCTTAACTGCTGAGCCATCTCTCCAGACCCTTAATTTTGCTTTTATCTTTCTATTATCTTAGCACTGAGTATCTTGAAAATAGATAACTAACTCAGTGCTTGTGTGTTAGAGCGTGTACATGTGCACATGTGTACGAATGTGCATGCTTGCGTGTGTGCACCTATGATGGCCAGAGGGCTGTCTTTCCCAATTACTTTTCACCGTAGTTTTTGAGATGGGGGTCTCCTACTGAACCTGGACCTTGATGCTTCAGGTGAACTGGCCGCTAGCAGGCCCCAGTGGTCCTCCTGTCTCCCCCTTCCAAGTCTGGGGATTACAGATGTTTGCCATTACATCTGGCTTTTTTATGTGGGTTCTGGGGATCCAAACTCAGGTCCTCATGTTTGAGTGTCAAGCACTTTCCTTGCTGAACCATCTCCCGAGCCCTCCTGCATTTATTTTTTCTATGAAATCTCTTTTCCTTCAGTATTGCTCAGTTAACATTTCCCCACCTTGAACGTCATTCTTTTTGATTCCACACCCACCCCAGATCTTGGGTCTTTAATTCTTTGTCAAGCTGTTTGTTCTGACATCTTCAGGAATGTCTTTTCTACTCAGTTCAGATTTCCTGTCTGTTTGGTTGGAGAGCTAGCCTGCATGCCTGCATGCCTGCACACCTGTTCTCCATAATAGGAAAAAGAGGCAGGGCCTTCAGGATTATTGTGAGGTAATTAATTCAAGTCTATCACCTCTCTAAGGTCTTGTTCTGTGGTTGGGGGAACGTTTGCGTTAGAGACTGGAAGTTGAGGCCTGGCAGCTTGTGTCGAGAGTGGATAAGAAGGAGCAACTACCTAGTCAACACCTCTGCTTCATATGTGAGGAAACAGGTCCAGAAAAGTCCAGAGACTGTATTAGTCTGCTTTCCGTCACTAACCAAACACCCAAGGCAGGCTCACATAATGAAGAGTTTTAGTTTGGGTTGTTGATCCAGAGCTACAAAGTCCAGGGGCCTTTTCTGGTGATAATCATCTTGCAGGCAGAGTTTCAAGATAATTGCAGAGCCCCACAGAGAAAAAGATAGGGAACACATGTGTCTGTCTCTGGTCTCTGACTGCATTCTTCTGAGGCCACCCAGGATTCAACAGTGGTGCCTCCACTGTAATGACCTTATCTAAACCTAATCAATCACCTCCCTGCCTTTAAATATCATCTAGATTTCAATTTCCACCTGCTTAATACTGTTGATATCAGGCTTTGAGGATTAAATCCCCATATGCGTGTGTTCTTGGGGTGCTAATTACTCTAACCTTAGCACTGGTGACTTGGTACAGCCTAGTGGTAGGGCACTTGCTTAACATGTGCAGGCTCCAGGTTCCAGTGTTAGAGGCTGGAAATTGAGGCCTGGCAGCTTGTCTTGAGAGGTAGGTAGGAAGGAGCCTGCGCGCTTCTGCAAGCCTGAACACTGACCTAAGGTCATACAACCAGGTGATGGCAGAGCTGACCCAGGATTGCATCTTCTGGGTTTCTGCCTGTGAGGGTTTCTGTTACACCATTGGGCTCCAAGGTTACTGTGAGATACTGCGGGGTAGCCAGCCCAAGGCTGTCTGCTTTCTGGGGTCTCATTCTGTGTTTATATTTATTATGTTTATATTTATTATGTTTCATTGTAATATTGACATTTCCAATCATGCATAAAAACAGAGAGGGGTCCAGTGAATGAATGCTTAATCATGACCCAGTTTTCACAGTTATATCAAAACACAGCCGGTCTTATTTCAGCTGTACTTTCATGACCCTCAATTATTTTGAGGCACATTCCACACATCGTATCATTTTATCCACAAATATTTTTAGGTTATATCTGAATTCATACATACAGTCTGTTTTCCTTCCTTCCCTCCTTCCGTCCTCCCCTGTCACCTTCCTTCCTTTCTTTTTAAAATAGTCTCAATTTAAAAGTCAGAAATATTCATAACAATTTAAGTCTCTTCCCTACAAATAGTTGAACTGGTTTTGCCTAGCACCTCAGGGAGGCATTTAGCTCCTGTTCTAATCAGTTTTCTGCTGCTGTAGTAAACACCCAGATCAAAAGGAACTTGAGGAGGAAAGAGTTTGTCTCATCAGAGTTTACAGTCCTATGTGAAGGGAAGCCAGGACAGAACTCAAGGCGGTGCCTGGAGGCTAGAGCTGGTGCAGACAGAGATCGTGGAGGGTGCTGCTTACGGGCTTGCTCCCTCTGCCTTGCTCAGCCTGCTTTCTTAAAGAACCCAGGACCACCCCATAGTGATGTTTTATTTATGTTTTAATAAATAAAGCTTGCCTGATGATCAGAAGGGCAAAACTAAGCCACTAGAGGTCAGGCAGTGGTGGCACACATCTTTAATCCCAGAATTTGGGAGACAGTGGCAGATGGATTCCCTGTGAGTTCAACGTCAACCTGGGCTACACAAGATCAATGCAGAAACAAATCCAAGTGCTGGTGGCTCACATTTTCACTCGTAGTCCTAGGAAGTCATACACCCTTAATCCCAGCACTAGAGGGAATATAAAATGGGAGGAGAGAAAGGCTCTGACTGCTTAGTCTGCAATCACCCAACCTTGGTAGAGGTAAGACTTCTCTAGTGACTTGGCTGCTTTGCTTTTCTGGTTTTCAGGTTGAACCCCAATGTCTGACTCTGGGTTTTTATTATTCGTGCTACACTGCCTGTCCAGGAGTGGATTGACCACAGTAACATCAATTAACAGATGCCCAGTCCAGCGGAGACAGTTCCTAAGCTGAGATTCTCTCTTTCTAGATATGTTTGGTTTGTGTCAAGTTGACAACTAGCGTAGCTCCACTGTGGGTTTTTCTTTCTTTTCCTGTGTAGTTAGACTGTTGCCCTAAAGGCAGAAGAATGAATGGTCTTAGTTCATCCTAATTAGTAGAAGGGAGACGAAGGCACACAGGACAGAGTAAAGGTCATGCCAGGGCCTCAGAAGCAGAGAGCCCCCTTGGCTGGATCCTTGAAGCAGGGAGGGCCTGTTCTCTCTCAGACAGCATGTCCAGCTTGGTTTACTGTGTGCCCAGAGATAGCTTAGGAGCTCTTTACCCATGACAGCTGTTTGTTTCCCTTTTGAGAGGATTAGGCTATTTCTTCATGGCCCTGCTTTCTATTCTGTATAGAAGCCCATAAAACACATTTCATTTGTATTTTAGTAAATAAAGCTTTCCTGAAGATCAAAGAGTAAAACAGCCCCACTGGTCAGCCTTACAGACCAGGCAGTGGTGACACGCACCTTTAATCCCAGTGGCCATGCTAGTTTGTCATAGAAACTGGGAGGTAGTGGTGCACACCTTTAATCCCAGCCCCAGAGAGGAATATAAGACAGGAGGAATCTCAGTCAGTCTCATTCTGAGATTCCTGGAGGTAGGATCGCTGTTTCAGATTGAGGTCGAGGTAAGAGCCAGTGGCTGACTGTTTTGCTTTTCTGACCTTTAGATTGAGCCCCAATATCTGTCTCTGGGCTTTTTATTAATCATGCTACAGGCGTACCACATAGACGAAGTGTGAGCTAGGAAGACCAGCCCCTGACAACATGGGTGGGCTCTCCACTGACAGTAGCAGACCTAATACCAGTTAACGTTCTGCAGGATCAGACTCCTGTTGCATCCTGTGGGTTCCTTCCCAGCTCAGGTTCTGGCACACAGTGCAGGCTTCCATCCCATGCAGAGCCTGGACCTTCGTTAGAACAGGAATGTTGCTACAGCTGCAGAGGATCGATTTCCACAGATTAGCTCACAGTTCTCTACAGGCAGAGCCATCTTGTTCTGCCGCCCTCTCCAGGCTGAGGGTCTGAATGTCAGATTAGAGGGAGAAATGCTGTGAGTGGGAGGTTGTGCTCGGTGTAGGGTGCTTGCCTAGCACACACGAGGCCCTGGATTTGCTCTCCAGTACCACAAAAGCAAGCAGTCTTGTTCATTTCCACATACTAGCTTATTGGATCTTCACCACTGCTAGATCTGGTAGTGTCTCCTCCTTTTCCGCATTCACAGGAGGAGGTGGGTTGGCATAATGGCTCAGCGGCTAAGAGCACTTGCTGCTCTTCCACGGACAGGAGATCGGTTTCTGGCACTACTGGGGCAACTCGGAACCACCTGTACCTCCAGCTCCAGGGGCTCCTAGTCCCTCACGAACTCCTTGGGTACCCACACACATATGGCAGACACTCACACAGATGGATGTGTACACATAAGTAAAAACAAATTCAGTCTTTTTTTATTTAAAAAAAAAAAAAAAAAGAAAGGAAGATGTGCCCGGGAAATCCGCCATTGTAAATAGCCAGCAAGGGTGATATCATGTCCAAGCAGTGTGGTGAGCATCTGGGCCCTTCCCAACTGGGCTCTTTCCCTAGTGCATACATTGCAGCATTCGGGGAGCTATAGCCCAGGACCCAGATTTAGAACTGAGAATAATTTCTAGGGTTTGTCAGAAGTCAAACCCTTGTCTAAGATGTGAAACAGGTGACTCCCAAGACCTAAACCGCTCTGGCCGCAATCTGCTGGGCTTTTGGGCCTTCTCCTCTTTCAGCCCGTCTTGGTGGGTACAGCGGGCAGATAATTTCAGAGATGACAGCGGCAGTCTCCAGTCAAGACTACAGGTTTCTGGGGACACACAGAAGGCTGAGCTTCTGTTTCTGTCTCTAGGCTGAAGACCTGAATGCCAAGTTGGAGGGGGAGCCTTCCATGCGGAAACCAAAGCAGCGGCCGCGGCCGGAGCCCCTCATCATCCCCACCAAGGCGGGCACTTTCATCGCCCCTCCCGTCTACTCCAACATCACCCCCTACCAGAGCCACCTGCGTTCTCCTGTCCGCCTAGCTGACCACCCCGCTGAGCGTAGCTTTGAGCTGCCCCCCTACACACCGCCCCCCATTCTCAGCCCTGTTCGGGAAGGCTCCGGCCTCTACTTCAATGCCATCATATCCACCAACAGCATCCCAGCCCCTCCTCCTATCACGCCAAAGAGTGCCCATCGCACCCTGCTCCGTTCTAGTAAGTGGCCTGGTGGCTGTGCTGGTGGGGGATGTAGGGGAAAGGCAGTGCAGTCTGTGGGTGGTTGTGGTGTGGCCGGAGGCTGGAAGAAGGAACTCTGCTGTCTCCTCCATGCTGTAAGGCATGGTCCTCCTGCTTGGGTTCTGATCCCGGTTCTATGTTTACTATCTCATCCCATGGGCAAGTCCAACCACCCAAACCTCACTCAGTTTTTTCCCTATTCAGCAGGGATTCAATTGGTCATATTTGGCTGATGGTGGAATTACCGTGATGTTCATCTATTAGATCCACAAACAGCAGTTTCCTCTGGTTCAGCCTAATAGCTACCTCCCTGGGTTGTGGTAGAGATCAGATTCGTTAGCATTGTTTTTATTAGGTGACTGACCTGGTCTCCTGGGCCTGTTTGAGCAGTCATTTTGGTCAAGAGCAGGCTTCACAACAGTGAGGCCTAAAAATGTCCATTTCACATTTCACAAAGAAAAGGGGTTCTTATCCCTTGGAAACTGGAATCACCTGATCGTGGTATCACACAGGCGCATTCTTCACCCAGTTAACCTCTGACCCCAGAGCTCACCCATGGTGTGGTTCTCTGGTGCCTCCTGCTGGCTGTGGATGGAAATTGCCCTATGCTGGCAGGCATAGGCTTTGCTTCCCGGGGAAGTTTTTCTCCCTGGCTCGGTTTGTGCTGGAAGTCACAGAAAAGAGCCAAGGGGTGTCAAGATGTCAGTCTGCCCACCACGTGTTTACTGAGCGTTGGGTGTAAGACCTTGAACTGTATCCTGTGCTGCTGGCTCCAGAACGTACGGGAAGCCATTATCCAGTCTGAAGAAAGCACAGAGCAGGATCATTAGGGAGTTGATGGGAAAGCCTGGGAGACAGAGAAGCGGTGGTTTCTAGCAGAGGGGGCCCAGCACCCAGTGAATGGGGCTGACCTCAGGCTCTAGCCTGCGGAAGCCTGCTTAGATAAGGAAAGAATTTGGGAAGTGGCTCAGACTGAGCGGAGTTGGAACTACAGAGAGGGAGGGGCAGGCAGGGCACTGCGGGCGTGGAATGGGGCTGAGCAGAGGGAACAAGCACGCTGAGGTTAGTCGGCCTCTGGGGTCGAGAGTCTGGGCTGTGGGAGGTTCAGACACACGGGGAACTGCCTTGGAGAGCTGAGGGTTCCAGGTTTTGTCTCATGCTGCACAGGTTTTCTGTGTTGTTTTGTTTTGAGCGAGGGAGTGCCTTGACTTTAAGTCCGACTTTAAGAGGAACTTGAATGAGAGTGAGGCAGAAAAATCCAGAGAGGAAATGAGAAGATAATTATAAAAGAGGACCCTCCTTCCCAGCATCCCTGCTGTACCTCCAGCCTCAGCCTCTTCGTATACTGAAGCGTGTGGGGAGTGGGGGCTCCTAGGAGCAGGAGCTGGACTTGGTGGTCCTGCTGACAGGGTAGCGAATGTTCATGCAGTACCAGGCTCTTATTTAATTCAGAATTCTCATGACCCCCAGGAGACAGACAGAAATAACCCCTTTTTGCAGATGGGAAAACTGAGTCGCCCTCATAGTTAATAAAGGCCCCAAGTTGTACCGTTATCAAGTTGCAGAGCAGGGACAGAGGGTGCCTGAGTTCCAAGTGTACTTAGTGAGTCACCATGGCGACTCTTATGCATGCAGGACAGCCGCCTAGGATGAGGGTGTTTTCCTGAAGGGAGGAAGGGGCCATTTACCAATATGTTCTTTGCCCATAGATAGTTCTGAAGTCACCCCGCCCGTTCTCTCTGTGATGGGGGAGGCCACCCCCGTGAGCATCGAACCGTAAGTGCAGCCCTGCCCCAGGCCCGTGCATGTGGGTGGCCAGGTGGGCCTAATGTGTGGCAGGTTAGCATTGGAAGCAGGAGGAGGGTTCTGTGGGGCCTGCACAGAGACAGTCTCCTTGGGCTTCTGTATCTGTCCTGGGCTCTGTGCTGTCACCTGCCAGCTTTTGTTTGGAAGTTGCAGGGAGAGGAAAGGTAAGGACCAGGTTGGCTTGAATTTGCCACTAGGGAGAGCTAGGTCAGGGTGGGTGTCCAAGAGACTCTCTTTGCCTGTCAGATGTGGAGTCGCTTGTCCTCTGGATCTTGCCCTTCTGATCACACCAGATGCCAGATTCTCTGCACCCAACCATGGCCTTGCTGCATTCAGCACCTGCCTGCTGCAGTTTCTTTAACATAGTATGGTCAGAGTCAGGTTCCCTGTCCTCACAAGGTGAGCCCTCACTCCTTGCCTCTCTGCCCCTGCAGACGGATCAACGTTGGTACCCGGTTCCAAGCAGAAATCCCCATGATGAGAGACCGTGCCCTGGCAGCTGCAGACCCCCATAAGGCTGACTTGGTGTGGCAGCCATGGGAGCATCTTGAGAACAGCTGGGAGAAGCAGAGGCAAGGTAAGGAGAGATCTCCAGTGAACAGGGCATGGCAGGCTGGTGGGCAGATGGGCAGGCTGGTGGGCAGATGGGCAGGCTGGTGGGCAGATGGGCAGGCTGGGTCCCACAAGGCCCAGCACTGAGTGTGATTTCCTGCTGCCCTCCCGATGCTCTGGTGAATCCAGTGGATGACCTGCTGACGGCTGCCTGTTCGAGCATTTTCCCTGGTGCTGGCACCAATCAGGAACTGGCCCTGCACTATCTGCATGAGTCTCGGGGGGACATCCTGGTAAGTAAGCCTTGTTAATTTGGGGGGGTCCCTTAAGAAAATAGGTACTGGTCTCTTCCTATCTGCTGCCAGGACCAGGCCTAGTGGTCTAAGATTTTATTGATTTATATTTGCTCTTCTGCGTATGTTCTGATAGGGGGTATTTTCTTTTTCCCCTCACAATCACGACTGCCCACCTTGCCTTGGCCTCCTGAGCACTCGGGTGACTTGGCATGGTGATCTCAGGTAGCTGCGAGGGTCTGGCCAAGGAAGAGGGTATTGGAGTTTGGCCTAAGGGAACTTTAGTTGCAAACCCTAGCTGGGTATGCAAGATTCTGCTGTTGAATCCAGTCCCTGAGTCTGGGTCAGTAGCTCCGCCTCCCCGCATTGTCACCAAGAGCATTCTCTGTCCATACTGCTTGCTTTCGTGGTTGAGCATTCCTGCAATGGTCTCGTGGCTTGAATCCTCAGCAGCCCCACTTTCTGTGATTTTTTTTTTTTAACCATGCTCCCATATGCCCTGCCTCACAGCAGTTAAGGCAAGAGTAAATGCTTGCTCTCTCCAGAGCTTGCAGAGGTCCTTTGCATGTTGCCCAGGCCCAGGATACTTCATCCTTCACTGCGACTGTTGCTAGCTTCCTGACTGCCCTTTCTTCCCAGGAAACACTGAATAAGCTGCTACTGAAGAAGCCGGTGCGGCCCCACAATCATCCGCTGGCGACTTATCACTACACAGGTGGGCCTGACTGGGGTGGTCATGTGGTCCAGAGCCTTCGGGGTCTCCAGCAGAGGTGGGGCCCTGCTCAGTGCTTAGTCACAGCCCTGAATGAGAGTGGGGACAGGGAGAGCCAGCCAAAAGTCAGAGCAAGGAAGCTAATATCAAGGTCAAGTGGGGGGCTCTCCATGACCTTATAGGGAAAGCATCAGATGGGTAGGCTGGAATCCAAGCCAAAAAACTCCCAAGTCATAGGGAGTGCAATCAGCTCATTTCGAACCTTGGAGTGTTTGTCTTATTGTAGATGCTGTTCTGTAAGAGGGACATTGATGCAATCATGTAATCCCAGTGACTGCTGTTGCTCAGTCTCTGTTAGACCCACATTTCCAGGCAGAGCCCCCAAAGGCTGTTTTACCATATAGCATCTAGTCTTTCTTGAACCTGGAAAGACAGGTTCTAGTGTTCACTCCCGTTTGGCAAGCGAGGGGAGTGAGGCTTCAGGAAGCTGGTAGCGAGTGGCCCACACAGATGTGGATGGCCTCCCACCTTCAGTGGGCCAGCAATGCTCACCGTACAGATGCTTGTGTTCCTCTCCGACTCAAACCTGGTACCCTCTCTGCTCTTCAGGCTCCGACCAGTGGAAGATGGCTGAGAGGAAGCTGTTCAACAAGGGCATTGCCATCTATAAGAAAGATTTCTTCCTGGTGCAGAAGCTGGTGAGCAGGGGCAAGCAGAGGGTCCTGTGCCCAGGTGGCAGGGTGCTTGCCCAGTGTCCCTGAGTTCTGGCCCCATTGCTGCCACCATCAGGTAGCTTCAGAAACAGCTTTGTCAAACACGGCTTGCACAGAGGATCCTCCGCTGACCTCTGAGCTCTCCGGACAGGACTTTAAGGCTAGATGTGGCCGAACCTGGGGGACAAGTAGGGAAGTGTTGGAGAAAATGTGTGGGAATGTATTGCTCGACCCAAACCCAGTGGTCAAATAGATCTTTGAAAGGGGAGGGCAGATGTCGGAGTCTGAGAGGACCATGGAGATGACCTCATGGTTCTGACATCATACTGTTTGCCCTTCACACATGATTGGCCTTAGGATGCACGGCCCTTTGTTGGCAGTTAGTAGCAAGGCTGGGAGAGCCTTCTGCCTCCTGCCTGGGTTTTCCCTGAATCTTCCCCGACGTGACGTTGCTCTTCCTTACTTGGCTCTGCTCCGGGAGAGGAGTGAAACTGTTCCCCAGATTGATAAGGGAAGTATTGCACTGCTGTATTTCGTCCAGCTTTGCAAGTGGAAGGATACCCAGATGCTCTGTACTTTAGCTTGAAATCGACCTAATGGAGAAGAGCAATTCCACAAGCCCCCATTAAAAATGCCTTGCTGAGGTTTACCAGGTTTACCATTTGTCCCTTTTCCTTCTCTTTCTCTGTCTGCATCTAAACACGAACCCATGAAAAACACACACCTACCTCTTCCTCCTCCCTCTGTCTCAGCTAATCATTGAAAGTTAGCTACAGCTGGGCCTGGAGGGTGATAGGCCTGTAATTGCAGCTCTTTGGGAGGGTGTGGCAGGAGGCTCGTAAATTCAATGTTCAAGGCCAGCCTAGTTACCTTGGTGCGGCCTCAAGGGTAGGTGGGGCGAAGTGAGAGTACTGTTTAATTGTAGACCATTCCCTAGCTTGTTCCAGGCGCTAAGTTCAATCCCCAGTACAGGGGCAAGGCGATTACTTTTAAATAAAACTGCCCTAAACAATGGCAAGTGAAAAAGCAGAAGTCAGGGCAATGAGCCGATTCTGACCCAGCCGAGGCTCCTGGGCCCCTGCTGACCCTGCTGGCCCAGTGTGGCCTCTCATGGCACTGCCCTTTAATGTCTAGTCCACAGTCAAATCTCCCCGGAAATTCTGCTATTATCCTTCAGATGTTACTCATTGAAATGGCGCAGAAGCCTCCATTGATGGCACTGCTCAGGACTTTGTTGAGAAGCAGGCATTGAGAAATGGGGTTTTGGGTTTAGTGTTTTGCCTAAGGCTAAAGGGAAGATGCAGAGGTGAGAAAAGTGAGCCCTAGCGGCTACCTCTGACCTCAGTTTTGGCTTTGCTTCAGATCCAGACCAAGACTGTGGCCCAGTGTGTGGAGTTCTACTACACCTACAAGAAACAGGTGAAAATTGGCCGCAACGGGACGCTCACCTTTGGCGATGTGGACACAAGCGATGAGAAGTCAGCCCAAGAGGAAGTTGAAGTGGACCTCAAGGTGAGTCCTTTGCGGCCTCGGCTGCCTCGTGCTTGGTAGCACTTGGGGCCAGGACCTAGCTGGAAGCTTAAGGCCAGACTCCTGGTGTTTATAGAGGCTAGACAGAGAAAAACAGGGTCCCTGAAAGCCCCCAGGAGCTGGTAGCCCAGGCCCTGACCCCTTGCCGGGATTTTTAGATGGTGCCAGTGCAGAACACTGGAGAGTGGCGGCTCCAGCTTCACCTCCCTGCCTCCTCAGAAGCGCTGCTCCCCAGCTCTCACCCTTGCACCGCCGTTGTGGTTTCTGCTCTGTCCGTGCCTTAGCACACGCCACTGTTACTATTTCTGTCATGTCCCATACTGCTTTTATTAATTTTCTTTAAGTCAACTCATTTTTTTTTCCTCAAAAGGGAAGCCTTGTATTACAATCATAAATAGGTAACCAGTATTGTTTCCTGTCAATAGGAATTATTGGGAAAAATAAGTATGAAAGCCACTGTTACTGAATGCCAGCTACATGCTGTAATTGCCTGCCAGGGCTCTGAGACAGAGGGCCGATTTCTCTCGTAAACAGATCACCAGGTCTAGGGAAGCAGAAGGGACACATTAACACCAACCCCGACCTCGTCCTTGAAAGATGTTGTGATCTCATTCTTTGCCATGTATCCCCTCAATATTGTCTCTAAGTCACAAGTCCGTACTTGGTAGCGTTTGGTCCCCATATTGCAAATGGGAAGTAGAGATACAGAAAATGTCATAGATAGTTAAACAGGAGCTCAGAGCTCCTGCCTGGCACACCCTGAGGTCACTCTGCCCAAAGGGTGCCCAGAAGATTCTGGGCACCTATCCAGAAGGCCAGGTGGTTTGTGGGTCTTAGCATGCTCCCTCCTTAGCCCTGGCTCTGTCTCATCCTGAGGGTGCCCAGGGTCAAGACTACCCTGTTTCCAGGCCAACTGGCCATGGGAGGGCTGTGACTTACGACAGAGTCCCAGTACAAGAGGCTCCCCTGGGCCAAGACAGGGCTGCAGGACCAGCAAGTGCTTCGGAGCCTTGGCTGGATCCAGAGTCCCGCACTCCGGAATGACTGAGCTCACTTTCGTCTCCCATAGACGTCTCAGAAGTTCCCAAGGGTGCCTCCTCCCAGCAGAGAGTCCCCAAGTGAAGAGAGACTGGAGCCCAAGAGGGAAGTGAAAGAGCCCAGAAAGGAGGGGGAGGAGGAGGTGCCAGAACCCCAGGAGAAGGGAGAGCAGGAAGAGGGCCGAGAGCGCAGCCGTCGGGCCGCTGCTGTTAAAGCTACGCAGACACTACAGGCCAATGAGGCGGTAAGTGACCCCCACCTTCACTCTCCCAGCACACTACGAAGACGGAGCTAGGCCTGGGAGTGCGGGTGGTGGTACAGAGCAAGACCATAGCGATTCTTGTGGTTATAGTCAGGAAATGGACCAAGTACTTTATGCTCTTAACTTATTTGGGCCTCAACCATGTGTGGTATGGGCTATTATAAATCTCATTTTATAGATAAGGAAACTGAGGTTGAAGATGCAGCTTGTGTGTATAGTATGTATTATACACTATATATTATACACACACACACATATACACACTGTGTGTGTGTGTATAAGTATTTCTGTGTCTCATATTCAGAGGAAAAAAGCCTTTTGAGCACCCAACAGATGTGTGCACGTGGGGGAAGCACCCATAAGCTGTAGGTCAGTCACGGCTGTCCTGGAGCATGCGCCTGAAAAGAGTGTCTGAGATAGAGCTGAGCCTATGACACTGCCAATAACGGCCCTTCATGTTCTCTGCTGAGTGTTCGATGTCCATTGTCTCCCTAATTCCTCACAACAGCTACACGGAGTGCTGACTCCCACTCAGCAGATAGGGGTCGGGTCCACGGATGGCGATTCACTTGCCTGAAGGCACACTCAGTCTTTGTTCCGAGTGGACGGCTCTGTCCCCTTCCCAGGCTAAGCAAGGCACCTCACTGTGGCCCGGTCAGGAGGGCTGGAATGTGTTTCTGCACTTAATGCCCTCCGAGCACCTGTCCGCTAAACACAGCTGCTTGCTCCTCCTCCGCTCACTGCTCTTCTGTCGGGGGCTGTGCAGTGTCTGTGCTGTCTCTGTGAACACTTTGAGGGGTGACTCAGGGCACATGTATCATTTCTGATGGCCATCTGGGGTTTCTGGCCTGAGGTCAAAGCAGTAACCTCCTTGGGGTGCGTACCGTGGGTCCTCTGCTCTCTTGACTTTCTTTCTCTTCTGGTTTTCCCTACCAGCATTTCCTCAGCAAGTGGCCATCACATCTGTCCCTTTCATTGCACTAGGCACTTTCTGGAGACTGGGCTCCCCTGAGGACCTGTCTCCCTACCACCTGGCACATCCATGATTGGACGAAATACCAGAAAACACATGAGCACAGAGCCAGAAGTCTTCAGACCTATAACTGCCAAGGTGTGGCCAGGATAACTGTGCCAGCCACTTTGTGATAAAACTAGAGCCAGCCCAAGCTGCAGTGGCCTCCTGGAGGCAGCCAGGGGCCCCTGTCACTGGAAGGGGGATACTAGGTTACCATTTGGCAGGAATGTATGAGTGTCTAGGACCCTCTGGTCGCTGAGATGCCAGAATTCTGAACCCACACTCGCCTCTAAAACATACCCTCTTGGTTGACTGCCTCCAGGCCAATGATGTCCTCATCCTCCGGAGCCACGAACCCAATGCCCCAGGGCCTGCAGGCGCTCAGACCTCAGAGAAGCCAAGGGAGGGGCCAGGGAAGTCACGAAGGGCACTGCCTTTCACAGAGAAGAAGAAGAAACCCGAGGCATTTAATAAAACCCAAAACCAGGAGAACACTTTCCCTTGTAAAAAATGCGGCAGGTAAGATGTCCCCATGGGGGCTTGGACACCGTGTGGATATAGGTGCTGCTGGGATTGGGGCACCGTGGATCTGGCTTTTGATTGGCTCAGTGGGTTTCCAGGGTAATGACATCACGGGGCAGGCATGGTTTGAATTGGGGTGCGGGGGGAGCACCATTCCAAGTGGGGAGGGGTGAAGGTTGGGGCTAGGTGGACAGGTTAGAGTTTGAGGGAATATTGAGTGAAGGGTGCCACACCCCACTGTGGTGTGGCTCACTCTCACCTGAGCCCTCCTGCCCGATGCAGGGTGTTTTACAAGGTGAAGAGCCGCAGCGCTCACATGAAGAGTCACGCAGAGCAGGAGAAGAAGGCCGCAGCTCTGAGGCTGAAGGAGAAGGAGGCTGCAGCTGCCGCCGCCGCGCACCAGCAGACACTGAGGGAAGAGAGCGGCGAGGGAGAGAAGGGCTGAGATGCTGCTGGACCCTCTCGTGGCCTCCCCCTGCACCCTGCACCCTGCACCCGGGAGCCCCTAGAGGGAGTCAGGAGAGGGTCACGTGGACTTTGCTCTGCAAAACAAATCCGATAATGAAAAATAAACAGGCTCTTTTATGTACAAAGGCCGAGGACAGTGTTAAGGGCTGCAGGATCCAGTTCTCTGAGGATCTGGTCTGTCCAGTGTTCTGCTTCCCTGGAGCCTTGAGAGGCCAGGCCCCTTGGAAGGGGGAAGGGCTCCGCAGCTGCCTCTCAGATCTGCCAGTCTGTTAGCATCTCTGCCTTTCTCATCCCAGGGCCCTAGTAAGCCGATGGCAAGCCAAGCACAAGCTCACCCCATGGCAGATTATCCCTCTTGGACCTGGAAGGCTGTGCAAACCTTGCTCGAAGCCCCAAACAAAGGGACTCCTTAGAGAATGGTGGCCTTATCACACCTGCGTCCAGGCCGGAGCTGCTGCAGTGATCTGGCTTCAGGCCACCACCTCCCTAGGAGTATCTCGGAGGGCAGTTTCAACCTCTTTGCTGCTTGTTAACAGCCCGTCTGGGGCTGGGAAAGTTTTCTCAAACATGTGAGGAAGGGGCCGGTGTTCATGTCCCCGCTGTCATCCTGCTACAGGGAAGGCCAGAAGAAGCAGAGTCAGGCTCAAGGGGTCTTTTGACAAGCCTGGTAACTCTTCCTGCTGCCTATGTTTTATACCTTTGGGTCCTGGAGGCTGCTGAGGGAGCCTCAAGCAGGTCCTGGGAAGGCCTGGCCTGCTCTTGGGTGCCAGCTCCCTTCTTGCTTGTCCCTGCTCTCAGCAGCTGCCACCTGACCCCATTGCACCGCACTCAATGTTGATATTCATAGCCCCCCCCCCCTTTCTGCATGCTGGAGATTTCTGGATCCTTCCCTGGGAGGGGATGTCTCCTAACTAGGTAAGACAGGAGCCTTCATTCCTTGACCTGTGTCATTTGGGAACTATTTATTTATTCTTAATATTTAATTTTTAACATCCTCAGGGACCAGGGGCCTCTTGCTTTTCAGAGGTTCAAGTGCATTTATCCCAAAATAAGGCATCCCCAACCCCACCCCCAATTCCAAGGCTCTGTGGTCCCTTACCTTGTTGCTCTTGCCAGGAGGAATGGTGGTGGTACTGAATGGGCTGGGAAGGTGGGGCGTGTCATCCAAGCCACAGGAAACGAGCAGACGTGGGTGACATCAAAGACAGTTCTCTGGCTTACCCTTTCTGTACTTTCAGAATGCCTGAGGGAGCTGGCAGAAGGCCAGAATTCTAGTTTTGTTTATCAGCCTGGATTCTGGCTTGAAGAAACCATATTTGGCATGAAATTAAAAAGGGCCGGAATGTTCTGGAGGCCCCTTCGCTTGCCAGTTCCACAGGGGGTCTAAGTTATTTTTCTGATATCATTACTCGACTTGAGTTGTGCAGAAGAAAGTCTTAAGTGAATGTGTGTCTGAGTAAAGAACTGAGAAGGATTCCTCCACGGTTCTGTAGGAAGTAGCCTCAGCCCTGCTGGAAATCAGAAATAGACGTGTTTTTAAGCTATGCACTATTGAGTGGTTTTTTTGTTTTTGGGACTTTTTTACATTCATTTATGCATTAGTATGGTTCTAGGAGGGCTGCCATTGGGAGTGACATGTCTCCCTAGATACCTGGGTGGTTACCTAAACCTCCAGCTTCCCTGTTAGCTTCTTCCATAGGCTCCTGCAGACTCAAAAGTCTTGAGATTGCGAAAACTTGGTACCCCCTAGAAGCAAGAGGGCAACACGTTTAGGCTTTCCTCTAAATCTCTTGTATAATGAGTGCCTTCACAGCTTAGCCCCAAAGTGCTACTTATGGTTCCCAAGGTGTTTTTTTTTTTTTTTCCTATTTAAACCATATTTGGCTCAGGCCCCTTGGACATGTGATATCAAACATCTTCAGCCACATGAGACCAACCAGTCCTGGAAAACCTTAATAAAAAGTGATTCTACTTTTCTAAGTTCACAGAGACCAGACCAGATGAATATAGCCAGAAAAAAAAAAAAATCAAGACGCTGCCTTTCGGTGGCGATTTCGTGAGACACTTTAAGAAGAGTCCATGCTTCAGGGTGCAGTGTGCAACCTGCACTGTTTCGAGGGCAGATGCGCTGTGGCAAGAAGCCACAGAGGCTGGCGCAGGCGCATCCTTACTGGTGCTTTTTCAGATGAACACACTGGGCTTGGTTTTTGTTGTTCTTCCTTCCTATTCGGAGCTCTTTGCTTTAAGAAAAGTAACAACTTCAGCCTGCCATTAGCCTGCCTAGACCGTCTCACCCTGCCTGTCTCCCAGCCTCCACCTGCATTCAGCGGAGGGCATGAAACTGACATAGTGCCTGCGATCTGGACCGTCTCTGGGGTCTCTTACCCATCTGAGGGGACAGTGCCGTTACTACTGCCCTCCACTCCTTCAGCAGCCCTCCCCACCCCCCTTAGCTAAGGTACATACCTGCCCTCTTGCCACCCCACCTCCAACCCTGGCACAGAGGTCCTGTGCTGCTCATGTCTAAGGGGATTGCCTATATTTAACTGCCTCAGTGACCTGACCTCTTTCTTCTCACGTGCCAGATGGTAAAGATGAAGGAGGGACACAACACATACTCAAGCCTCAGCTGTTTAAATGTTTTTATTGGGCCTCTCTTTTCTGGGTTATTTATTACTAGACTGGCAAAGCCTAACTCCTTAGGTTTTTACGGGAAGTATGCATATTTTTATAAAACAGTTGTGTCTAATCTAACCCACATTTGGCTGTGTTTGTTGCCTAAAAAAAAAAAAGAATTGCAGCTGTTGGAACTTTTCCTCATTTGTCTCAAGTCAAAGGCCTTGTTGGAGAAGACAGAGCACAGGACAGCCTTGATAGACTGTAATTACTGTACAAATATTTTAATAGCATAAAATAAGTATATTCCTTTTATTTTGAAACAAAATGATCAGACACTGCCTTTCGTGTGTTTGTTGCCTGTGGCACTCTTTTTAAAAAAGACTGTTACATATTAAATAGTGTACATATATATAAATATTACCTCTTTTGCTGTACAGTTGTGATAGACCAGACTGAAAATTTTATTTTTTGTGTGCTTTTTATAAAAAAAATTAATACACTAAAGAGAATCTTGCTGATGTGATTGTAATGTACCTATGTAACTTATTTACTTTTGAATGTTCTGTATCTTAAGACCTTTTATTAAATAAGGTTTTAAAAAATTCGTTGTTGAATGCTATATTCTTATAGGGGTGTTTTTACCAGTTGGGATTGACAAGGGAATTTACCCCCACCGTTTCTGGGGCTTAAGCATTTTGTTTTGTTATCGTATATACTAAGTAAGGCCAGGGGACGAAAATGTTTGCAGTTTGCCTGGCTACAAAGGAGTAGTAACAGGGTTTTGTTTTTTTATATACAAAATTTAGACAAGAAAGCATAATCAGTCTCTCACAGGAGCCTATAGATGTCATTCTCCCTCCTGCTTTCATGGGGAAGAGCAGAGCCTCGGCAGAGTGTGATCGGATGGTACACAGAAGTCAGAGCACCGTGTGTTTCCGTAGGCACAGACGGGATGAGCATCTTGAGACAAGTCCGTCATAGTGGATGCTTATCAATAACGCCAACTTAAATTTACAGCAAGATTAGATTTAAGAACAACAAAAAGATGCTTACCCTGTCTCGAAAAAAAGAAAACAAAACAAAACGATGCTTAACAATATTTATTTTTAAGAAAGAATCTAGGATATACAAGGGGCGGGGGCGGGGGAAGAAATGCTCCATCACCGAATAGACGCCTCAAACCCCTCGGTACCATAGCAACCGCCAGATCCTCTGGAGCCCGCGCATCTCGCGTCGTCATGGACACGGTTGCCACGGCGACACTGGCGCGCGGGCCAGTCCCGCCCCGCACTGCAGCTGCGCAGCGGCGGCCTTTGCGGGAGCGCGCTGCTGTAGAAGCCGAGCAGAGCTGTCTCCAGCCGGCCTCCCGGCTTCCGCGACTCCTGCGGCCTCGGTCCCAGATATTCACCAGCCGCTGCAGCCGCCGGAGCTGAGTACCGCCTCTCCCCGCGTCTTCCTAGCCACCGCCTCGCGCGACCCTACGCCCGCACCTACCTCCGGCGGGCCGGGGAGCGGCGGGAGGAGCTGCCACGCCCCGCGACCGCACCCAGCCGTCTACGGCCGGCCCGGAGCCCACCACCTACCGCCTTCCACCAGCCTTGTTTCTTTCCTCCACGCGGTGACGCCACACACACAGCTGCAGCCAGCCCACGCCTGCTCGGACCAAAGAGGGCGACATTCGCGTGACAGGCGGAGTGACCCCCGAAGCTGCCGGCGCTCATTTTGGGATCCAGAAGGGACAAGACAGGACTCTGGTGTCATTTGGTAATTGTGGTTCCTTGAAGCTTGTCACCTCCTGGCCTACCCGGGGGAGGGAGGCATGTTGTATTTTGTCCTAGGTCCTATAGCACTGTGAGCCAGTCCAAGCGGTGTTTGTAGAACTGGCACCTTTAGTAGAAATGGCTATGACACTATTGGAAGACTGGTGCAGGGGAATGGACGTGAACTCTCAGCGAGCTCTGCTGGTCTGGGGGATCCCTGTGAACTGTGATGAGGCTGAAATCGAAGAGACCCTCCACGCTGCCATGCCCCAGGTGCCCTATCGAGTACTGGGGAGAATGTTCTGGAGGGAAGAAAATGCGAAAGCAGCCTTGTTAGAGCTCACCGGGGCAGTGGATTACTCCCTGATCCCTAGAGAGATGCCAGGGAAAGGGGGGCTCTGGAAAGTGCTGTTTAAGCCCCCCACTTCCGATGCTGAGTTTTTGGAAAGGCTGCACCTCTTTCTAGCTAGGGAAGGGTGGACCGTGCAGGATGTTGCTCGTGTGCTTGGGTTTCAGAACCCTGCTCCCGCTCCAGGCCCAGAAATGCCAGCAGAGATGCTCAACTATATTTTGGATAATGTTATTCAACCTCTTGTTGAGTCCGTATGGTATAAGAAGCTGACGCTGTTTTCTGGGAGGGACATTCCCGGGCCTGGCGAGGAGACCTTTGATGCCTGGCTGGAGCACTCTAACGAGGTCATAGAAGAATGGCAGGTGTCTGATATGGAAAAGAGACGGCGGTTGATGGAGAGTTTGAGAGGCCCTGCTGCTGATGTCATTCGCATCCTCAAGAGCAACAACCCTGCCATAACCACCGCAGAATGCCTGAAGGCTCTGGAGCAGGTATTTGGGAGCGTGGAGACCTCTAGAGATACACAGGTCAGATTTCTGAACACTTACCAGAACCCAGGAGAAAAGTTGTCTTCTTACGTCATTCGCCTGGAGCCTCTGCTGCAGAAGGTAGTGGAAAAGGGGGCCATTGATAAAGATAACGTGAACCAGGCTCGCCTGGAGCAGGTCATCGCAGGGGCCAACCACAGTGGGGCCATCCGAAGGCAGTTGTGGCTGACCGGGGCTGCCGACCGGCCGGCACCCAACCTCTTCCAGTTGCTGGTGCAGATTCGAGAGGAGGAAGCCAAAGAGGAGGAGGAGGAGGCTGAGGCAGCCCTCTTGCAGCTAGGCCTGGAGGGGCATTTCTGAGTCCCTGGATTGGCCTGGCTGCTTTTGTTATCCCTGTGCGGTTTTACAAGCCTGCCTCGCCTAGTAAAGACCTACGCTCCTGTTTTTGTTTTGGTTTCTGAGGGTTGGGCCAGGGGAGTCGGACCTGCATTTTCGCCTCACAGTCACAGAACTGTGATTGATCCCAGCTGTAAGGGTAGAGGTGGGTCAAATGCTTGGCAGGAGCCCCCCTGGTGAAGGCTTTAACAGCTGTGGAAAAATGTGAAGCTGCGACACTTCCTGTCAAAGACGCTTGTGAAATTGCAAGTTCGGATGCTTAGTGCAAGCGTGCCTCACAGGCTGTAGGGCACAAGCTGTTCTATTTGTTACTAATATTGTGGATAGTTTTACTGTACATTGTCCCTAATTTATATAGCTGGAAGGAATGTGAACCTACTAGATGATACTACTCATCTTGAAAATTCCGATTTCTAATTTCTCACGGCCCAACGCCAGAAGCAGTTTACCTGCACAGTGTTCTAGGACGAGAAGGGTATTGGGAAAACCAGCTTTTGTGGAGCCGCACAGCCAGCTTTTCATGGTGTAAAATACAGACAGAGATCCTAGGGGGAACTTCCTTGAACAAGCTACGTTCTCCCCACTTGAAATAGTTGTCATTTAGTTATTGGTCACGTTGATGCTAAGTGTTCTAAATTTGAAGTTATCAAATAGATGTATACAAATAAAAATTTGAAAATTCTCATCTTGTCTTTCCTGACATGCATAAAGATTTTCAGTGTAATTCAGCTCTTCACATTTTTCTATTACAAAGATTTTTGCTCATGTCAAAAAAAAAAAACAAAAAACAAAACCCTTGCTATGAGCTTACGTCACAACATCATCTACACATTCTTGTGTTGCTGGTTCCTTGGCTGTTTTCTTCTTCACAGCCCCACTCTGTAGCTGGGACTGGCTTGGAATTCACTCTGTAGCCCAGGCTGGCCTCAAACTTTTAGCAAGCCTCTTGCCCCCGGCCTGGGCAGTGCCAGGGTTGCAGGTATGAGGACCACAGCCAACTATTTCCTTTAGATACAGGCTTACTTTGCAGCACAGGATAGTCTTGAACTAGGGGTCTTCCTGCCTCCTCCTCCCGGGGCCGTCACATCCAGCCTTTGCAGTACCTCTTAGGGGGCTCCGTTTCACATAACTTCCTCAAGGCACGTGATGGTGGTTGAAGAGGTGAAAATAGATTTCAAAGAAATTTGAAATGGGGCTTAGGTTTCTAGCAGCCTTTTACACTTTGTGACTTAACGTTAAGGCCTGTTTCAGTGAAGAAATATGGCTGAGTCACGCGTGTTCATTGTATGCCAGGAGGAGAAAAGGGAACGGCTTAAAACCGTCTTAACCGAGCGGCATAAATCTGGAAGTGAGGCCACACTTTCTCTTAGGGTTTAGGAGTGGAGCTGGTGTAACCCTATAGACCACATGACTGTCTGTCCCTGAGGCTCTGCTGGGATAACTCAAGCAGGGAATGGGGACTTTTAAAAAAAATAGTGTGTGTGTGTGTGTGTGTGTGTGTGTGTATGTGGCTGTGCGTGTTATGGTATGCATGTGGAGGTCAGAGGACAACTTGTAGGAATCCATTATCTCCTACCATGTGGGTCCCTCAACCTAAGATTCTATTTCTTAAGCTTTTATACATGGACACATGTTGCTATCATGTGCTAACCAACCACACTCCCAACTCCTACACGTAGATAAACATTCTTAAAACAAAGATTCTGCATACTTCATGTTGTCAGCGTGCTTGGTTTCACATAGGGACAGACATTTTGTGGGTGGGCACCTACATGTGGAGGACGTAGCATAACATGTAGGCGTCAATTCCCTCCACCATGTAGATCTGAGGGATCAAACTCAAGCTGGCAGCCTTGGTGGTATATGCATTTACCTGCTCTGCCATCTCACCAGCCCACCTCAACCTGCCAATGGAACCTCAATCAATGGTTGCTACATTGTTTTGTTCGGTAGCAAGAACCGAACCTAAGATCTCATGTGCTGGTCAAGCCCTCTACCACTGTGCTACTGTCCCATCCATTTATTATAAAAACAAAGTTTTACATTGTATAGAGGAAGCAAGCTGTCCTACAACTTGCTATATAGCCGAGGCTGACTTTGAACTTAGAATCTTCTGCCTCATCCTTTTTAGTGCTGGGATCATAGGCTTGTTCCACCATGCTTAGTCTATACTTTCGTTTTATAGCTGAAGAACTGATTACATCCTACGAGGAAAGGTATTTTTACCATGTAACTATAAATAACATCTGTACATATACACATGAGCATACATCCACAGTTAATACAACACATAAAGCAATGTCAGGATCACAGATGCTCACCCCCCCGCCCAGTCTTTCTGAGCTGAGCTTTGTCTGTAGCATAGGCTATCCTTGAGCTCCCGCCTCAGTCACCACACCCTTGAGCTAGGAAAAAACAGTGAATTCAAAGTAATCGTGACCTGATTTGAGGTTTTCTTGCTATAAGCTCAGGAATTTTTAAATTCTGCTTTTTTCAGAAAGGTATATTCAAAGAACTGCGGGATAGTAGAAATGGCATGGAAGTTCTATTCTGTAACAAAATTATGTTTTGGCTGATGGCACAGATTACATACTGGCAAAGTGTATGGTGCCACCGATACTGCTGGCTTACCCCGATTCTCAGGGGCCTCTCTGCTCACCTTCACTAGGGTTGGCCACGTGCAGGAGGAACTTGCTGTCCCTGGAAGCACTCTTCAGTGGTCATGCATTGGTGGAGAGTTAGTCGGGAAAGGATGTGTTTACTGGTAGGAAGTAAGAAATTAGTTCAGCCGGGTGTTGTATACCTTTAATCCTAATACTTGGTAGGTAGGCAGATCTCTGAGTTTGAGATCAGCCTGGTCTATTTAGTGAGTATACATATTCTAAGACACTCAGGACTACTACACACTGAGATCTTGTTTCAAAACAAAAAACAAAAAACAAAACAAAAAAACACGCTAAATGTCTCCTCACCCCCACCCCCCCTTTTCTTTCCTCCCCCACCATCTCTGTCTCTCCCCTCCCTGACCCTGTCACATGTTAATCAGATATCATGGGAGCCACGCTGTTAACTCAAACACAATAACCAAAGAACTTTTTTTTTTTATAAAATAACATGATTTATTACTATTTTAAAACAAGTTTCACAAAATAACATTCAGAAACTGAATATTACTAAATAATTTAACACACAAAGTTTAGTCATAAAGTCATGCTACAAAAGTCCTGTGTAGAAAAGACTATTACCAAAGCAGTACAGATATTCAAATCTTCTTCAGAATGAACATGGTTCTAGAAACCAAAAATTTGAGAATGATGCTCCTGGCCATTACGGGGAACCTGGGAGAAGCAGCTGGACTGTGTGTCTTCTGTCTTCACTCACCAGCACTGACAGGAGTGGTCCCACTGGCGACAGCATCGCAGTGCTCTCTTCCCACGGGGTCTCCCAGTGATCCAGAAGCTAAGCTCCTACCCATGTAATGTAGTCAACACCAACATGAACTTTTAAAATCTAGATATGGGCTGGGCATGGTGGCACAGGCCTTTAACTCCAGCACTGGCAGAGGCAGGCAGATCTGAGTTCAAGGGCAGCCTGGTCCTCAGAGTGAGTTCCAGGACAGCTAGGGAAACTCTGCCTCGAAAAACCAAAAGAAGAAAGAAACTTAGATATGAAAAGAGAATACCCACAGTTTCTATTCTAAATAGGAATGCTATTTTGCACCCTCCCAGAGGGATGACCTTGGACCTGAAGACAGACAGCAATATCAGCGTTGTGGCAAGGGCTGGAATCTGAGTCTGGACCACCTGTGTGCAGCTGGCTTGTGCCCACCTCCCCTCTGGAAGTAGTTTCCCCATCAGCCACACTCATAAAGTGCAAATCTACTAGAAAAATAGTTTATTTTCTCTACCTCCTTGCTAAATTTGTTAGATCATAATTTGGTTGTCTCTCTAATCTGCCCAATGTGGGAAATTAATGAGAATATGATTACAATTTCTCCACGTGTCAAGTGAACCAATTTATATCAGGCTAGAAGTCTAGTTTTTCCTTTTGGTTTCCTTTCTTACCACTCATGATGAATAAAGGCAGGGATAGACACATAAACATGGAATTCTAGAAGTTAAGCATTTCTCAATGTAACCCTAGGTTTTAAAATTTCCCCTTTTCTACTTTTATGGGATGGGTGAATAAGTCACACTAGATATAGATAAAGGAACACGGTCAAGTCAGCTGTTGCAAACAGCTCCGACCCAGCTCCTTACTCTCAGACTCATCGGCTTACACAGAGAGAGTGTTTCCAAGGCTGACTGTGGCGAAGGCTTCCAATCTGGTTTTTCTTCCTTTACCGCGGCTTCACCGTTCACAGCCTCTGTGAACTACGACCGACAAGTTCAGTCACAGACCATGGCTCCTCACAACACTCCCCCCAACCACTTTTCAAAGTGAATGATAAAATCCAACTTTCTGGGCTTTTTCATGCTAACCTTAAGGAAAACTCGAGTAAAAGATCCCAATCCTGTTTTCCATGTCCCCAGTTCTCAGCCAATGACAGATTTAGTTAGCGTTCCTTATTTTGCTTCTAGACCACTGGCGAAGGTATCAGAAGAAACACCTACTCAACACCTATTTCCACTGCAGAGCCGCATGCAGGGCAGCTCCAGGAAGCATGCCGAGTTACTGACCAGTTAGGGACGGCATCCTTGTGCCCACAGTCATACCGGAAGTCTGCACCAGCTAATTTCCCTGCATGAGCAATTAAACACGATGCTTTCTAGATTAAAAGACACAGTCTACAAAAAAAAATTGTGCATGATGATACATTTTCTAAAGTGTATTCCAAATATTAAGCTTTAGAGACAAAACAAAATATAAAGTTGGATTTTGTTGACGGCAAGAGAGATAGGCTAAGTCATCAGTCACCGTCCTAAGATGAGCACCCCCGCTCGTCACATAACTGAAGCTGAAATCCTTCACACAGAGGCTGGAGTATCCCAGCCGAGTTTCTGGGACTGTGTGCACATGAAACCGAGCACTGCACAAAGGGCACCACTACCGACCATCTCCAGCCATGGTGGTAAAAGATGCCATCTTCTCACCATAACTCTGGTGGGCCCACTACAGAGCTAAAGTGGACAACAGACAGAGGTATGCTGGGACAACAAACACTGGTTCTTACCTAGGGGAGAATTTGGTGTTCTCCCCTGCTCCAGGGGATAGTGGGCAATGTTTGGAGCCATCTTTTGCTGTCATAACTGGAGAGGAGGAGCTACTGGCATCTAGGGTACAGGAGACAGGGCTGTGGCTAAATAGCCTACAACACACAGCCCACAGCAGTGAGTTATACAGTCTGAAATGCAAATAGCGTGGATGCTGAGCACCTCTGGTGCGGTGAGCAGAGAGCACCAGAGTCTCCCAAGGCCTGGCTAGATAAATATGGCCATAGCTCGAAATTAAGAAACGCAGAAAGCAGAATTCTGATCTACCAACATCTGTGAAAAATTAAAATACTGGGCTGATTTTAGCACTCGCCATTGTAAGAGCGGCAGAAGTTCATGTGAATGCAGACAGCATCTACTCCAAGGTGGTCCAGTCTCCAATCTGAATGGCATAAGCCAAGAACATCCTATATCAACTACAGTTTTAGCAGTAAAAGATGACTTAAGAATAATCTGACAGGATATCCTTAATGTTTTCATATATCCAGCCTTCCATTCCATTTCCTAATTGAGTGCATTTGGCTTTAATTCCAGAAACAGAGATGCATCAAAACCATTCCAATATTTGTGGATAAGAGCCGAAAATGATATTTGTGTGAAATGGACACAGAAAAGCACCTTACATATCTCTGAGAACCACCCCTGATTAAAAGACATTAAGAAATGGGGGAGGGATGTTTCCCAATTACAGAAGTTGGGGAAAAAAAACCCCACATATCCTGTAAGTAATTTCACAGATCCAGTATGAAGCCATTCACTTCCCAAACTCACTCCCAGGGTACCTTTTAGGAAGTAGAGCCACACATAGAAACAGTGCAAGCTATAGCAACAGCAATGTCCCTCTCAGCTGTGGGCCTTCGGCACCACCAAGGACAATGAAGTCTTACCTTGTGGCTCACAATAGAAATGTCAGTGGTTTTGAATGGTTAAGCCTGGCAGGGTAGTTTCTTTCCATCAGACCAACTTCAAAGAAGTATATAAGGTATTAGACTAGGTGTTCTTTTGAAAAATGTATTATTTCATGAGTATGTCTCCATGTATGTCTGTGTAACTTGTGTGTCTGGCACCCCAGGAAGCCCCAAAACAGTATCAGATCCCCTGGAGTGGCAGGCAGTTGTGACCTCCACATGGGTGCTGGGGAGCAAACTCAGGTCCTGAGCACAAAGTCCAAGACCAGGCCTTCTTGTTAGGGTTCAGAGTTGATGATTGTCACAGCAGTGGTCCCTTTGATCAGTTTGACTCTTGGAGGAATGGAGTCATTCTTACTGAAATGATAGCTATTAAATTCCTCAAATCAAGACTAATGTAATCATTAAATAAGGAGAACCACGTGGAGATGGGATCAGGAATTGGGAGCCTCTTTTGAGACTTTAGGCACAATTTGGTAGGGGTCCTGATGTCTTTTCTGCAGTCAGTGCTTCTATCACGGCCCACTGGAGACTTCGTCTGGTGTTGATGATGTTTTACATTTCTCAGGATATTTTTCTTACATGAGAAATGATAATCTCCACAGCTAACTATTGCTTTGCAGACTGGAGGCCAGGACACCTCCAGTGACCCACAGGAGACATCTCCAGACACTGCCATTTGCCTGGGATCCGTCCCACAACATCTCTCTTCCCTCTACACCACTTACACAATACACCTGGGATCCGTCCCACACCTCTCTTTCCTCTACACCACTTACATAATACACCTTCAAGCTGCTTAACTTAGATCTTCTCAAAAATATATTTTGAAAAACTATTTTATTTATTTAGAGCTACCAAATTCAGTCTTTAAGTTTGTACCCTTATAGCCATAAAGCAAAGGGCACTGGGATAACTTATTAGGGAAAAGTTTTTACCAATCTCAATGGTAGGTAGTTAGAACTATTGTCTACTGCTTTAAACATATGAGAAATTATGTCTCAAAATCTGCATATGGCAAGGTCCACAAGAGCTGATGTGGTCACATTACTATCAAGGGAGTGAGCACGCCAGCTGCATTAGTCACTGATGGGTATACATGACTCCAGTGGGCATCCATGGACCACAACCTAAATTCCAGTTGACAGTGCACACAGTTTTGGAAAAAGAATAAGTAAATATAACAGGAGCTAAGGAGACTCCAAGCCAGTCAGTCTTCCTTTTCTCGCCAGTGTTTCCCATTAGATGCTGGACTCCTGGTTCTAGGTCCAGCTGTGTTCTAATAGGAACACTTCCCATCAGCGTGCTGCCTTCCGAGCCCGTGAGGACATAGATGCTTTTGTGCTTTGGAGTTATAAGGACATGAACCTTTACAGACTTGAAAGTATACCTTTAAAATGCTTGCCCCCCCCAATACTAAGCAACTGAGAACAGATAACAGGTCCCTTTGCTGTTGAAACGACTGGCGTGTACATTTTAGGGGACAGGTGGTGTGGTCCATACCTGGACACAGCCGGGGATTTGCAGTTTCCAAAGGTGGCCTGCACCGGAGCCGGTGCTGCTGGTCTGAGGGGAAACAGGGTTTTACAGGATGGGAGTGAGAGATGTGTTTTATCTTCAGAACTCTGCTCTCACATAATCTTTAAAATTGACAATTATACAAAACATATCTATTGTTCTCATAACGTTTAAATAAATTAACACAAAGTGTAAAGTACGGCCTTAGTTTTCATCTTCCTCATCCTGCTTAATTACTGGAGTACCTAAAATGAGAAAGAAAATATTATTTCTTGTCTCTTTCTTTTCTGGTTTTTAAGACAGGGTCTCTCTATGCAGTCTTGGCTGTTCTGGAACTTGTTATGTAGACCAGGCTGGATTTGAACTCAGAGATCCTCCAATCTCCAATCTCCACCTCCAGAGTGCTGGATTTTTGTTGTTGTTTGTTTTTGAGTCAGGATCTCTCTCTCTCTCTCTCTCTCTCTCTCTCTCTCTCTCTCTCTCTAACCTTGGATGTGCTGGTACTCTCTAGACTAAGCTGGCCTTGAACTCAAAGATCCACCTCCTCTGTCTCCTGAGTGCTGGGATTAAAGGCAGGCACCATCATGTCTGGCTATTTACTGAATCTTTTTATTTTTACATGGCAAAATTCTGTCTCAAAAAACAAACAAATGAATAAAACAGAACCCCAATCTAATGTAGTCCCTGTGGGTTTGTGAACATGAGTATAGTGTCCCACCAGAAGTGTCAGATCTCTCAGAACTGGAGTTCTATGTGTTTGTGGGATGCCTAGCTAATGTGGGTGCCTGGATCTGAACCCAGCTGTCATGATTATATAGCAGTACTCTTAACCACTGAGCTACTGGAAAGGACCTTTCCAGTCCTTCCATCTTCTGTGGGTTTTGGGGATCAAATGCAAGTCTTTATGTAAGGATTTACACTTGCCTTCTATTTGTAAGGCAAGCATGTGACCAACTGAGCCATTACACTAGTCCATGTTTATGACAATGGTGATGATTATACATGTTGAAACTTATCAAACTCTATACTTTGGATATGTCAAGTTAATTGTGCTAATTATACCCTAATTAAGTTGTTTCTTGTTTTGGGTACAGAAAGCAGATACTTAAGGGCCTGTGGGTCTCTAACTCCCATCACAAGGACAGAGAACAGTTTTCTTCCTTAGGGAGATATATGAGAATAAACTGTGCATGTTTTTTAACTACATACATCTTCTTAACTCTCCTTAGAGAGTCTGCAGAGTTCCTCTAGTGCAGTGGTTCTCAATCTTCCTAATGCTGCGACCCTTTAACACAGTTCCTCGTGTTGTGGTGACCCAAACCAGGAAATTATTTTCGTTGCTACTTCATAATGGTAATTTTGCTGCTGTTATGAATCATAATGTAAATATTTTTGGAGACAGAAGTTTGCCAAAGGGATCAGGTTGAGAACCACTGCTCTAGAGGGCTGGAGCCCCACTTAACAAATGCTGTAGCTACCTGCTGTGGATAAAAGGTTTGACTGTAGAGTGTCAGTGGTTATAAAGAAGGGGTGAAGAGTCACACCCAGGGCTGCGAGAGTGCAGCCGGGTGAAGCGTGGCTGTCGTGTGAGGCACTGATGAGGATGACATGGAAATGCATCTTTGGGGCAGCACAGCAGTCGCCATCACCAGCACTGAGCGCTTCCTTTCTCCATTCAATCAGTCGGCTCGTTAGCTGTGTGCAGGATTGTTTTACAAACAGAAATGAAAGCAGAAAGAGACCACAGACTTGCTTTATCTCTGAAAAATGTCAGAAGGCTGAGAAGAATCTGTTAGTGGGAAGACACAGAATTCTGTGAGGAAGGTGCGTGACAACGCCTCCCAAATTAGGAAGGTACTTCCCGAGGATGGCAGGAGAGAAGTTCTAGAACAGAGGACCCTGGCCCTGGTTTTTAACACTGCTGGGATGGAATGGATGCCTGTGCTTTACCTAAGGAGAGAATCCTGTGCTCACCATAGACCTCATTCAAAAACAAAAACCAACCCAGCAAACAGGAGGCCTCTTCCACAGCCCAGGTGGACATCATGGCTGTGACAGGGAATAGTCAGATGACTCCTACAGGAGTCTCGGGAGTGGGGACAACTGATGCTTCTGCTATACTCACTGGGGACCGCTGACCTACAACTTTTCCTCATGACTTGCTTTATAATGATGGCATCATCCAGAGAGATATTAAGAAAGTCTTACTATAGCTGGGTGTGGTACCTTTAATCCCAGAACTTGTGAGTTTGGGCCAGCCTGGACTACATCAGGAGTTCTGGACTACATCAGGAGTTCTAGACTATATGGTAAGACCCTGTCTCAAAAGACAAACAAAAACCCAACAAACAAAAATGAATGTCATACTAAATTTCTTGATAGTCCAGTTGAATTAAATTGGAAGGTGGAGTTCAAAGCCAAAATAAATTTATACTGAGATATTTTGTCATATGCTTGAGTTTCTGGATTATTTAAATATTTCAAGATAATTATAATGTATTATTTAATACTTTGTGCTAAGAACAACATTTAACAGATTATTTCTCTTAATCCTCATAACAACACTATGCTATACCCTTTAATATGATTACTAATGGTATTATTGTCTCTAGCTTTTATATTACAAATGAACAAGGCTTCGTAAAATTCATTAGCAAGCATAATTTTCGAGCTGGGACTTGGCCCAGTCAGTTAGGGACATCTACTGACATAACACGGACCTCAGGGACTGGGAAACTAAAGTCACGGGGGAGAAAGTAAGGGGAACAAGATAATTCTGATTAAATTGTGAAGGGCAACTACTTGTCATTTATGCCCAACTATCCCACAAAATAACATTCTTAGAACTTGGGAATAAGCCTATTCTGTACAGGATTTATGCCTAGGAGTTTCTCATTATGCTTGGCCTAAAACTGGATGATCAAATCACAGAAGAACAGAAATGGCCTTAACAATGAGAGACAAGCTCCCTTTTCTCCAGTTTTGCTCTTTCTCATAATCCTATCCAAAGTTTCAGGTTTTGCACCCAGGAAACCCTTCCCAGCTGGCCAGGGCCACTCACCATCCAGCTTTTTCAGCTTTGGCACTCTCTTGGTCGCTTCATCGATCCAGTTGCCCTCGGCAGAATGCTTCTCCTCCAGCGGGTTGCCTACGAACACCAGGTCTTCCAGGCATGGCAGTTCTGCCAGTTTCACAAATTCAGCTGCAAGCACACAGAACACTGTTCATGCTGATAAACTGGGGTCAAACTCATACAGTTTTGGAGACAGAATTCAATCACAGACTCCATTTGTGACCATGTGGGTGTGGTTTAAGATTTTAAAGGATATGGGAAACTTTATTATATAAAGTCATCATCTGAGGATATTAGGGGGGGGATGAAGACCTATCTCTTCTGCCTTTAATGCTAATCTAGTGATGGGTCAGAGAAGGGTCAGTGTTGAAAATAACAGTAGATTAATCTCAGAGGTACTGTATCAGTGGAGGATGCGTCAGCCTGCCTTTGTCTTTGAGTTCTTGAAGCAACTCATTCAAATCCCTATTACAAACTTGCAACAGTTTTAGAAATATTATCTTACTCTCTTCCCCTCTCAGCTGTGAACTGAGCAGCTGGAATAATGTTCACATCCAACATGTTTTTCAAGCACCTGGCATAGTTCATGCTGTATACAGCATGGCATTAGAACATGCTGAAGGAATAACATACAAAAAGAGACAAAGCAACGTAGGCAGCAAATCAGTCTTTCACGTTTATTGAATTTAAATGACTTTCTTTAGCTTTGGATAATACACTTTTTTCATGGCCAGCATCTATGCAACCATAAAGTCAGTGTGTATGTGTGTGTGTGTGTGTGTGTGTGTGTGTGTGTGTGTGTATGTGTGTGTGCACTCACATGTACATGTGCATGGATGTGGAGACCCGAGGTTGGTATTTTGGTGCCTTCCTCAACTCCTCGTTACCTTATTTTTTGAGGTAGGTCTCTCACTGATCCAGCTTGCCGGACTGTTCACAAGCCCAGATTTCCCTGCCTCCACCTCCCCACTACCATTTGGATTACAGATGCCCATTGTCTATTCCTGGCTTTTACATGGGTCCTGGGGATTTGAACTCAGGTCCTCATGTTTGTGAGGCATGAAGCCATTTTCCTAGGCCTAAATAAATAGCTAAATATACACTTCCATATACTTCTTATATTTAAAATTTGGGAATTCCTAGAGTTATTCCCAAAGCTGTTTTTCTCTGCATTTAAAAATAAAGGTTCTGGTGGTTGGAGAGATGGCTCAGAGATTAAAAGCACTGGCTGCTCTTCCAGAGGTCCTGAGTTCAATTCCCAGCAACCACATGGTGGCTCACAATCATCTAAATGAGATCTGGCGCCCTCTTCTGGTGTGCAGGCATACATGCAGGAAGAACACTACATAATAAAAAAATCTTTACAAAAAAAAAAAAAAGGTTCCTGTTTTATGTATTTTCCCTTAACTGGGTACTTTCTCTTTTTATTAGTGTGTTGTGAGGTAAGTCTCACCACCTCAAGCTCTGTACTGCCTCGGCATCCTGCGTGTGGGGTCATCACACGCAAGCCCAGCTCTGCTGACTGTTTTCTATGAGCTGAGCAGGATGCAGGAGACTAGCAAGAGCTGCTCTCAGCTTACCCCAGTCTTTTACCAGGTTATTAGACATGTAGAGAATCTTCAGCTTCTTCATCACATGGATCCCTTTCAGCTTCTCAATGAAATTGTAGGAGATCCACAGTTCTTCTAACGTGTCTCCTACTGCTTCCTGGAAAAGACGGCATCTGATTGACATTCTCATTTTTTAACCCATTGTGTTTCTTTCCTTACAAACATATGGAACAGCTTCTAAAGAGATCTGAGAGTTGTCTGCCCGCTTGGTGAAGAGATGACACTCTGGAAGTTCCAGTTCACGAAGGGGATGAAACAGAACATTCCCTACCCTATTAAGTGGATCTGAACTCTGTTCTCCAATTGCTTCACAAACATTCAAGAATAGCTACTGAAATCACCAAAAGGAGAAGTAATGGCACAATTCCATCATGTTTATTGAATAGTAGTTTCAAATTACTTTCTTACAGGTTATAATATTCGATCCTAAGAAAACTTAAAAGTAGACAAACCAACTTAGTTTCTGTATTATATAAGGCGCTATCTCAGATCTCACATTAAGTCCCAGAACTTGCTCTAAGATTAAGACTTTTCCCAAGATCAATTATTAAAACATTAAGAGAATTTTACATTCTATGAGCTCACAGATCCAGAACATACCATGAGCATTTTATACTATTGCTATCATATCTACCCGTCCCTCAATCCACATCATCACTGTGTGCACGGGCATCATTCCTGAGGAGCTGCCTACCTTGCTCTGAGACAAGGTCTCTCATTGGCCTGGGGATCACCAATTTGACTGGGCTGGCTGGCCAGCAAGCCTCGGGGATCCCATCTCTACATCCTCATCTCTGGGATTATAATCATATATTATTACTCTTTCTAAGTGGGTTCTGAGGGTCAAATACAACCTTCTTATGCTTGTGGAGGAAACACTTTACCAACTGAGCTATCTCTTCAACCCCATCTTATTTTGATATATGAAATTCAGTTTTAAACACTGAGTCTTTCTATTACAGCTTAAAAGTTATATTATACTGCCTCTTAAATGTTGGACAATCACAATTTGCACAAAGATTTTCAGTAGACATTAGACAAATGCAATGATCTTTTCCTTTAAAACAAAGTACTAGGCAGGGCTCACTGTTTCTGCTGTGTGTCTCCCTTACCTCTTACAATTTACATCACTCACATGGTAATGTCTGGTGGGCCCAGGTCGAACTCTGGGTAACTGTCCCTTAAAAGACTATGGACAGAGTAAGATCCTTAATGCATTTCCCATAATGGTAAACCAGGGAGGATAGGTGAGAACAGGGTAGCCTGTGCTAACTCTACCATCTCAACCCCCATATTCATCTCAGTTTTAACTTCCCAACTAGAAAGTACAGGAAAACGTTAACCACTCTATCTTGGCACTCCTATATCAGGAGATTGGAACTTAACTAAGTTTTCTAAACTAATGTTCTGACGTCTCCCAAAGGATCTAATTACAATATCACACAAAACTTTTAGAGCAAGAGAATTAGTCTTCAGATAACTTATATTTCAGTCTATACAATTTTATTGCCTTGGATTCCTGTCTTTCTCATGTCTCCAATAAGGGCGATGAGGTAGCAGAAAACTACACATTAAATACTGAGAAGACTTAGGCCTCAACTGAGTTGTAGCCAGGGTGGGACGTGGTTGAGCATGCATCATGCTCCAGGTTCGGTCCTCAGTATCCCCTTGCAAGCACTGAAATAGAACAACTAAGGGTCTCCCTTTGTGAGAGTATGATAGAGCTTCTGGGAGTAGGAAGGTTTTATTGGCTGTCATTAAGACTCTGATCTTGAACCATAGAGTGACAAATCGTTACTGTTTGATTAGTATAAAGAATTCAGATAATATAATATTGCTTATAAGACTTTAGAATGCATGATTTCTAAACACTGAGGACTGTTTGTGACTTACTACACAGGAATACAGAACAAATAGTCCCGCACCCACCAGGAGGCTCTGGGGCTTACACTGAGCCTTACATGTGCAGGTAAGTGCTCTACCACTGAGTTATAGCCATACCTGAAACAAACAGCCTATTACCTCGTATACCATGACTTATGGAAGAAAAGTCACACCATTCATTTCAGCAATGAAAACTATAAACTCCCAGGAATACATTTTTGCTCAAGAAATGTAGCAGGTCTTATAAAATGTAAATGTATTTAACTTTATTGAAGAACAACAAAATGCACAAAATCTTCCTGTAAAAAATTTTATTGTTATAAAGCCATCAATTCTTTCAAATACATCTATTTAATGCATTTCCATTACAATTTCCAAAGGGATTTATGCTCTGGATTATGACAAAGTGATTCTCAAATTTCTCCAGAGTAAACACTCAGGAAAAGTCATAAATATTTTACAAAGGAGAGAGGACTTGTCCTAGTAGATATCCCAAATAATATAAAGCTAAAGAAAGAAGGCAGCGGACAGGTAGCAGGATTTTATGAAGGGAATGAGAGAACTCTAGCCAAGTGGGAACTCACTCACATGTACAAGAGTTTGGTGGGCAGCATTTCCAAACTGTGGGAAGAGGGCTTGAACAAATCCTCATTTTTATTTATGTATATTGTTAGCATGTGTACCTGTGTACCATAAGCATGCAGTACTTGCAGTGGACAGAAGAGTGTGTTAGATACCTGGGACTAAAGTTACAGACTGTTGAGAGCTGATAGGTGGGAATGGAAATCAAACCCAGGTTCTCTGGAAGAGCAGCCAGTGCTCTTAACCACTGAGCCATCTCTCCAGCCCCCAGAGACATTTCTGTAAATGGTTAGTCATTTAGAGAAACAGAAGGAAATAATATTTGATCCTTAGATACACATAAAAATAAACTCTAGATGGATTAGAACTTTATGTATTTGGTTTATGTGCACGTGCGTGCATGTGTGTAGAGGCCAGAAGTCAAGTTGAGTGTCTTTCTCTATTAGTCTCCACCTAACTTTTTGAAACAGGGTCTCTCACTAAACCTAGAGCTCACCATTAAGCTAGGCTGGCAAGTGAGTCCTCAGAATGTTCCTGCCTCTATTACCGAGCTCTCAGACAATAAGTATGCCCTGCGCCTGGCTTCTTTACAATCTGGGGTCCAGACTTGGGTCCTTCACTCACTGGGCTCTGGTATAAATTTCTGAACACTGTAGACAGGTGTGATGCTTCATGTCTGTATTCCTAGCATTCAGGAGGCGGAGGCAGGAGAATTGCTGTAAGTTCAAAGCCAACTTAGGTTACAGAGGTTTTGCCTCAGTTTGCCTCACTGTACTCATTAACACCTGATGCACAGTTATCTTTTAGAATTTCCCACAACCATAATGTGAGTTCAATGAGAGCAAAGACTGTTTTATTTTGTTCTTTTCTGGTTTTTCTTTTTTCTTTTCTTTTTTTGATCGATATATTATGTATGCCTGCAAGCCAGAAGAGGGCACCAGATCTCATTACGGTGCTTGTGAGCCACCATGTGGTTGCTGGGAATTGAATTCAGGACCTCTGGAAGAGCAGTCAGTGCTCTTAACGGCTGAGCCTTCTCTTCAGCCCTTTTTCTGTTTTTTCAAGACAGTGTTTCTCCGTGTAGCCCTGGTTGTCCTAGAACTCATTCTGTAGACTAGGCTGGCCTTGATCTCAGAGAGCCACCTTCCTCTGCTTCCCAAGTGTTGGGATTAAAGGTGTGCGCCACCACACCTGGCTCAAAAAAGATTTTAAATTTTGACATGTATCTAGTGTTTAGACAAGTCCCTGCTTAAAGCAGGTATTCACAGGGTTAGAGAGGTTAAAAACAGTTAAAAGTGTTTGTCCTGGCCGGGCAGTGGTGGTGCATGCCTTTAATCCCAGCACTCGGGAGGCAGAGGCAGGAGGATCTTTGTGAGTTCGAGACCAGCCTGGTCTACAAGAGCTATTTCCAGGACAGGCTTCAAAGCTACAGGGAAACCCTGTCTCAAAAACAAAAACAAAACAAAACAAAGCAACAACAACAACAAAAAGTGTTTGTTCTGTAACCAGGACCCCCATCTGAGAAGCAGTTTGGATCCCAACACTTACAAACAAAGCCAGATATCCCTACAAATGTCCAGATCTGAGGGCAACAGAGACAGACGAATCCTTGAGTCTTGCTGGCTTCTTTCTAGTCTAGCTAAATCCAGACTCAAGTTTCATGTTCAAGAAGAAACTTTGCTTCACCAGATATAGGTGAAGAGCAGTATTCATCTACCTAGAGATGGTTCATCCAGCAACAACATTTGCTGAAGATCTGAGTTCAATCCCTGGGACTCACATGGTAGAAAAAAAATGTGACTTGCAAGTTGCCCTCTGACTTTGCCATGTATAACTTTGTACACACACACACAAATGTAGGCCAGTGATATGACTCAGTAGGTAAAAGGGGTAAAAGGGTTTACTACCAAGCCTGATAACCTAGGTTTAATCCCAAAGCCCACATGATAGAAGAAGAGGCCTGAGTCCCAAACAATTTCCTCTGACCTCCATAGCATGCCATGGTGAAACACACACAAACAATAGTAGGCATTTAGGAAACATGTCAAATGGATTCACTTAATGGATTAGATGAAAAAATCTGCATATTAAATTTTAAAAGGAGACACAGAGCTAGTGAGACAGCTCAGGGCACAAACATGATTTCTTCCCCGTCTGAGGACCTGAATTAAATTCCCAGGACCAGATGTGGAAGGACTTGATTCCCTCAAGTTGTCTTCTGACATTCACATTCATGCCATGGTACAAGCATAAACACACACACATACAAAATAAATATAATGTAAAAATAAATGAATAAAAATAAAGATACAAAGCAGAGTGCACAGTACAATTCTACTTTACAAACTCCTCAAAGCAGCCAAGCAATCGTGAGCAGTTTTAAACTGTCAGTGGTTTGTTGGGACTTGTCCTATTTGGTTTACAACTGTAAAGGTTCTGCAATAGAAAACCATTATTTTTATAAGAAAAAAGTATATGCTTTTTAAAAAGTAAAACAATAACCTACCAGTCCATTGAGGTTCTTTATGTTGTTTCTTCCTAAGGACAAAATCCTCAAGTTTTCTGTCGTGGAAAAAAGGCATTTTGTTTATGAGAAATATACAAGCAACTATCCTCAGTCTAGTAGAACAACGCCCCTAAGAAAGGGTGTAGAATAAATACCTCTATACAGTGAGTTAAAAAGGCTCTACTACCAAATAGGTAATGGAACTGGCAAGACAGCTTAGCGGATGCTTGCTGCCAAGTTTGATGAATTGAGGTCACTGTTCAGGACCCACACTGGAGTGGACCCCACAAGCAGTTCCTTTCACCTCCACAGTCATACAGGTTACTTCAGTTACAGAGAAATCAAAGAGAGGAAAATAGGCATAGTGGTGCATAGCCTAAATTATTAATGAGTCAGCAGAAATGGGACCCAGGCACCATCTTAGACACGTCTAGCAGTAGCTAACAACGGCAGTGAAGGATGGGGATGGACACTATGGCTAGGCTATGAGACATCCCCCTAAAAGGCTCATGTTTTAAAGGCTTGGTTCCAAATGCAACAGTGTTCAGAGGTGAAACTTTGGGGAACTGACTGGGGCATGATGGCTTTGATCTCATTAATAGATTAATTCATTGATGGACTTATAATACGTGGCATTAACGGGAAGTGGCAGGAAATAGGAAGTGGGAACCAAGGGGAAGAAGCAGGCCAATGTGGGTACCCTGGGAAGATATGCCTTGTTCCTGGCCCCTTTCTCTCTCTCTCTCTCTCAGAACAATCAACTTTCCTCCGCAGAGACATCCTGCCTCGGTGTCCACCTTGCCTCGGGCCCAAAGCAACAATTTAGATGAACTGACTGAAAATTCCTCCCTGCTACAGTTTCTCTTGGCATTCGCCATGGGGTAAGGAGTCTGACCGACGTGAAGATAGAAAAGCTTTCAGGCTGCAGCGATTCCTCTTGAGGGCTCCAAAAAACACATGTTCCCAGCTATAACCATTGCTGATCTTTTCTGGGTTGCTTTGTTTTGTTTTTAGTGCTGGTTTTATGTATGTCAGGCCAGCATTTCACCATTGAAGTTCATCCCCAGACTCCTCCCATTTTGAAACAAGCGTTCATTCTGTAGCCCAGGCTGGCTTAGAATTCATTATGTAGCCTAGGCTGGCCTTGAATTTGCAGTAACCATTCTGCCTGAGCCTCCCAAGTACTGAGATTATAGATTATGCAACACTATGCCTAACTTCAGTCCTTTCCCCTTTAAAAAAGGTTCTATTCTTGGGACAAGGTCCTGCAAAGGTTGCTCATGCTGGCCTCAAACTCAAAACTCCTTCCTCAGCCTTCCAAATAGCTTAAATTCTACTGTATACTACCACACATAGCTTTAGTCTTCATTGTAGATATACCATATACAATTCTATACTTTATATATATTGACTCACTTGACCTTTAACTGTATTAGTAGGTGAATGTTATTAAAATCTAAGGCAAATTATTATAAACATTCTCAATTTATGATCATGATGGTGGAGCTCTGGGAAGTCCTAGAGAGGAGGTGGCATTTAAATGTGGCATTCTTAATCATGACCTTAATTTCTTACAGGGTTTCTCTTGGGAGATGACGAGACTGTACTCAATGAGAAGCACTGTCTAAGCAAATGTTCAAAAAAGAATGGTACAGCCAGGCATGGTGGTGCACAATTTTAATCCCAGCACCCCGGAAGCAGAGGCAGGTGGATCTCTATGAGTTTGAAGCTAGATGGGTCTACACAACAAATTCTAGGCTAGCCAGGGCTACATAGTGAGTGAGACCCTGTCTCAAACAACAAGAACAAACAAACAAGCAAAAAAAATCAAACAAAGAAAACCAACCAACCAACAAACAAAAGCATGGTATGTTTATGTCTGAGAATGACTAGGGCAGTACAGGATTTTAGATGACTCTGACTGCAACATTGGGCATCAAATCTCTATTAGGCAAAGATGAATGATTAAAAGGTTTCTGATCTGGGAGAATGGTATCATCAGCATGAGAACTCTGGTGTCAGAGGACAGTTAACTGAAGAACAGATAGAAAAGATCACTTTGGATGCTGTTAAAAGAGTCAAAGGCCTTTACTAGGTCATGAAACCAGTGTAGTGTGTTGTGGGCTGGGTGAGTAGTTAAGTGCTAGCATGAAGACCTGAACCTGACTCCAAAAACCCATGAAGTGTTGGTGTGTTGTGCACTTGCAATCCCAGGTCCAGTGAGGTGAAGACCGCAGACCCCTGGGGCTAGCTGGCTAGCCTAGCCTACTTGGCCAGCCCCAGGCCAGTAAAAGGAAGACGACTTTTGAAGAATGATACCCTATGTTGGCCTCTGACCAAAGCGCACACAGGTGCACAAATTCAGTGTGTTATGACTGACTTAAAGACAGCACATTTTAAAATGCACATTAGAACTTATACTACAAGGGCATATGCTCTTTTCCAAACTATCCCAGTTTAGTGTGTACATTTGACCTGTATACTTATAGGAAAGAATAATAAGTTCAAATGTATTTTTTTTCCCTGCAAGACTTAAGGGGAAGCTAATGAGGCTCTACATAAAGGTTCTGCTCCTGGCAATGGGAAGCAGCAGTCATCTGAGAGGACCTTCACAGAAGACAGAAGACAAGAAACAGGGCTCAATGAGGGACTTGGAGCAGGGCTTGGTGGGACAGGCTAAATAATAGCTCCCCTAAAGATACCTACATGCCAATCCCTGTAGCCTGTGACTTTGCCTTTGTATGGAAGAAAAACCTTTGTAGATGTGTCCAAAGATCTTGTGATAGAGCCAGCACCCAGAGGCAGAGGTAGGCAGATCTCTATATGAGTTCAAGGCCAGTTTGATCTACATAGTGAGTTCTATCTAAGACAGGGATACATAGGAAGACTGTCTTGGATAACAACAACAAATAAGAAAAAAAGAAAAGAAAAAGAAAGGAAGGAAGAAAGAATGGAAAGATCTTCAGACAGGGGATCATTCTTCCTATCTGATGTGCCAAGTGTCCACGCGTCCTGAAGGGAGGGAGGCAGGGACTTAGCACAGAAAGAACAGGAGGTACTTTGACCTCAAAAGCAGAAAACCATGAAATTGGCATCATGCAGTCAGCAGTCAATGGATGTGGCAGCCACCACAAAATGGAACAAGCAGGAGAAAGAGTGTTCCGAAAAGACTCAGAAGGAGGCTTGATTTTTCGCTCAGTGAAACTGATTTCATATTTGCAGCTTCTAAAACTGTAGAGAATACACTTCTGTCGCTGAAGTCGCCACTTTAGAGTAGCCTTTGGAAACTGAGGAAGTAAGAAGCAGACGCAGGGAGGGCGGAGCATAGAGGGCACAGGACAGTGGGGACTTAAAATCTAAATACAGCAAGTTCGAAACACAGACAAGCCAAATCTGAACACCACCACAACAAAAGACAACAGAAAATCTGGCTGTCCTAGTCACCTCAACCTCAACTCCGTAAAAGTTTTCAAGGGACTTAAAAATATTCAGGTCTCACACCATCTTATTCTTTTTGGATAACCAAACTCAAGACATGGTTATATAGTTTCTGTCATCTGACACGTACTGCGGCTAAAACAGGTGCCAGCATCTGGAATGACACATGTCTCTGGAATGTTTGCTCCAATAACTAGAAACCCAAGCATCATCTGTTCCTGAGGATCACTTACTTAAGCCGTTCAGGTTGGCAATTTTTTCAATGCAGTTTGTAGACAGGGAAAGCTTCCTTTAAAAAAACAAACAAAAACTTTAATTACTCTAAAAAACCTAAGTGCAATGTCAGAAATTATTTCTTAATAGTAATAGTCCATGAAAGATTTTTAATTCATGTTTCTTTTTATACTTAATATATTTTCCCCTTCACTCAGAATTTATTCTTTCATTTTGAAATCTTACCCCCAAATGATTATAAAAGTTAATACACACTCATTATAGAGAATTAACAACAAACTTTTAAAGGGAAGTTTGGTGTTATCGATCAAATTTTTAGTACATGTATTCTTTGATTGAATATTTCATAGTCTTCCGAGATATCATTTTCAATGCATTTTATGAATGAAATTGAAGTGCAAAGCTGTTAAGCGATTTCCCCAATATTATGTAGTTACAAAATGGCAGGGCCAAAATTAAAACCCTAGAACATGTATCTTACCCTCATGATTTGAGTTGAAGAGGAATTATTCATTTTTAATCTGCTTGAAAAAGCAAAGCAATTACTACATAAACACTTGGTGAGTAAAAGGCCAGCTCTGCGTGTTTCCTATTCACCCACCCACTCCTGAGCACGACCAACAGAACACGGATGCCTTTAAGTCAAAGGCTATGGCTGGGAAAGAATTCTTTCATTTCTCTTTAGGCAATCTGTCCCAAGATGTCTGCAAAAAATATGAACAGCCTGGCTCTTTCTAAGTGGTTTCTGAGGTGCTTTATGTAGCTCACAGGCCTCAAACATGTTGACTCAGATAGTTTTATGATAAAAATATATTTGATAACTTTGAAGTCATAGTTGAAGCAAAACAATTTTTGTTCTGTGTTTTCATCACATGGAACAAGTTGCACTTGGTAACTAAACAAGTTTGCTTTTCCTTTTGATCCAAAGATATTAGTCTAATAGGTTTGCAGATACATGTCCAAGAATGGCCCAGTTTGCTTACTGTAAATAAGACACTAAGGTTTCACTAGGAGACCTTCTGCCTCTGTGAAATTGGGATTGGGTTAATCTCCTACAGAAAGGGCAAGTAAAGGAATCACAATTAGATAAGCGCAGGGTGAAGGAACCCCAAGAACTCTAGAGTATTCTCCAGTCCCAACAAAAGGCAAGGAAGTGTGAAAACAAGGAATTGTACTCTGATATGTACAATTGTACTCATCAGAGTACAATTTTCAAGTTACCAACAGAACTCTGCTAAAAACTGTACAGAACACTTAGAAAATAAGAATTAGTATCAACCTGATATTTAAAGTCCTGGGAAATAAGATTATAAAGTGAGTATAATTTGATAACAATTTGAGCTTTTCGTTTGTTTTTATGAAATAGTATCTCATTATCTGACCCTGTGCTAATGATCCTCCTGCCTCAGCCTTCCGGAGGGTGAGGCTACAGGCATATGCCACCATGCCCAGCCTAATCAGGATTACTCTCAAAGTGCTAATACTAGTCCCACGATGTACTGCAATTTAGGTTTACATTAATTCCTTTTTTCATATTTATTGTATTTTCTAGGTATTTTGAATTGTATTTTAAAGTTCTTTTTTTTTTAAAGGCATGTCTTGGGTATCTAGTAAGAAACATGACTTTGACTTTGGTAGGTAACTTTACAAGACAATGCAGTAGACTGTTAAATTTTGTTTCATTATTTTACTGCTGTATGGGGGTGGAACTCAAGGCCTCACACATACAAGAGCTAGGCAAATACTGTTCTAGTGAGTTTGATGACCTCCAGCCCACTTTTTTTTCTTTTTATCATTTGTGTATGCATTTAGTGTGCACGTGTGTACACACAGGAAGAGGCCTAATGTTGAGGAAATCGTTTCTGAATCATTCTCCATCACTCTTCCACCTTATCCATTGAGGCAGGGTCTCTCAATCAAACTCAGACTCACTGATTTGAAAGCTTGCTCTGGGGATTCCTTGAGGTTGGAATCAGCCGGCACTGATGTGGGTTCTGGAGGTCTGAACCACAGTTATCAATGTTTGGCAATGTAGGCTGATGTTAATTTAACCACTGACCCATCTCTCCAGTTTCCTTTCCTAGTCCTTTTTGTTTTTATTTTTTATTTTGAAAGTCTTGATAAGTTTCCCAGGTTAACTCTGCATATCATTCCCCTGCTTAGGAAGCAGACTGTACAACAAATCAATAAGTTATTGTGTTATTTGACTTTTTCAAAAGACTAGGTAACTTCTGTCTACAACTACTGTATAAAAACTGCATAAAATGTACTGTTTGGTATCATTCAATCAATAATCCCATAAACCAATAATTTTTCACATTTTGCTTTGTCAGGGGAATCTACAATAAACAACACCAATAAAGACCACAGAAAGCAAACAAGTTTGTGTACGAAAAGGAAGGAAAACTTAACAATACTAGGAGGATGAGGGGGCCTTACTCGCAGTTGGCAAGTGTGGACAGAGATGCGTCCATCTTCTCTATCGGGGGGATCTGGGCATACAGTTTTATCTCTCTGGCCTCAGACGGCCTTTGACCGGTCTTTTCTTCCTATGGAAAAAAATAATGTGGCACAAAATCATCCTTGGTTATAACGTGGGGACAAAAAAGGTCAGAATTTCACGAGGCCTTTCAATGTTTGTCTCAGAATAACTTTATGCTTTATAACTTTATGCTTTTTCACTCACTGGCTTTTGTACTTGTTGGCTTTAACAGCCATGTTTCTACACACCCAGGCCAGACAACTCTAAAGTCCTCACAAATGAAAATAAGCAGGAAAGAACTCCCATTTGTCATATTTTAAATTCTTTAAGAGTCTCTTAAACAGCAGCTGAGCAGTGGTGGCGCACGCCTTTAATCCCAACACGCAGGAGGCAGAGGTGGGAGGATACGCTGGCATCTTCATGTCTTCACCCTTCAATCCCCAGGGCTGGGCCCAGCATTCTGCATGACTTCTGGGGATTTGAACTCAGGTCCTTGTGCTTGGGCAGCAAACACTTTATCAATCAAGTAATCTCCCCAGCTTCTCTGTGCTTATTTTCATTACATTTATAGGTTAGGTCAATGGAAACTGACACTTAGTAGGTCTTCATTAAGTGTTGGGTTATTTGTGCCAACATGATGACCCTAGAGGATTCATTAGTGCAAAAGGCCCAGAAGGACAAATATTTCATGCTATAACTCATGTACGGAGGCTTATCTTTTTGAAGTCAAGAATAGAATAATGGCTATCGGAGGCTGGGAAGAACGGGATGATGGAAAGACAAAATGAGTCAGATAGGAGGAGCAAGCTGGAGTGTTCTCTGGCACAGGAGAGTGGTTATGATAAATCTGTATATTTAAAATGAGATTGTGTGCAATCAGGGTGGTATGGCCATAGATTAGGTATATATTTCTAAAGAACTATAAAAGGGGATTCTATGAATGTTCTTACCACAAAAAGGCAATAAAAATTTTGAGATCAGAGATATGATAATTACCTTGATATAATAATTATCTGCTTTAAATATGTATCAAAATGTCACACTGTACTCCATACATCTGTACAATCATATGTCAATTAAGACTTTTATATGTTAAAAAGAGAATGATGGGTTAAATTAATGAAAGAATATGTCTAATGTCTTCAAAGATCTTAATGACTGTTGGCCATAATGGAACTAGAAATAAAATCTAAAAAAACAAAATAAAACCAAATACTAGCTATTATGAATAAAAGATATTTTCCTAAAATGTAATTTAAGGAAGATTAAACCTGAGTCTAGTCTACACTCTTTAACAAATTTTGTGAAATATTTAACCCAGCAGAAGCGTGTGTGTGTGGTATATGTGTGTGTTCGTGTGTGTTGGTACGCGTGTATGATTGTGCCTGTGAAAATCAGAGACTGATGCTGGGTGTCCTCAACTGCTCTCTTATTTATATATCTACTTAGTTGTTGTTTGTTTTTTTTTTAAACAGGATCTTTTTGAACTTTTGGTCAGCTTGCCCCATCACCTGAGTGCCGAGATTATAGACATGCACCATGGTGCACCGTTTAATGTGGTGCTGCGGATCAAATCTAAGGTTTCATAGACGAGTGGTATCCTACATTACCAGTTTAGTTTCATCCCCAGCATCTACCTTCACTTTTAAGACAGGTCTCCCACTGGACCTGGAACTCATAGATGCAGCTAGAGTGGAGGCAATGCCCAGGAATCTCCTGTCTCCAGCTCCTCAGCACCTGGTGTTCTTTGTGGGTGCCAGGGACCTGAACTCAGGTCCTTGTGCTTGTGCAGTGAACACTTTACAACTGAGCAGCTCCCCAGCCTCAAGAAGGACTCTTTATAAGGCAGTTAGAAAGAATACAGAAACTTACAGGCACCAACATAAAAATTAAGTACCTCATTACTCTACTCACTTCTGTCTATTTTCTCAGATACCCAGGCTACTGAAAGTCTTTTATTCAAAGTCTAGCTATAGAGCAGGAGAGATGCCTGGTTCAGGGGTGAGAATAGCAATTCACGAATTAGGTGTGTGTGTCATGGTAGTGCACTTGCCTAGCATGTGTAAAGCCCTGGGCTCCATCTACCCCCAGCACCACATGCACAACAGAATCCCCAAAGAGATCATTTGTCCAATTTTCCCCAGTGGTAATGTTCAGCAGAACTGTAACATATCACAACAGGGGTACTGCTATTTACAAAACCTGTCACTTTACCCAGACTTCTCCAGTCTGCTGCCTGGTATCATTGAGATATGTGTGTGTGTGTGTGTGTGTGTGTGTGTGTGTGTGTGTGTGTGTGTGCATTTTTTATATGTTAACTCCTATACAATTTCATCACTTGTGTATGCTCAGGCATCTATCACCACAGACAAGATAGCTAAACAGTCCCCAGATCAAAAGAATCTCTTGTGATGAACAGTCAGACATAAACACCAGCACAGATTCTTCCTTGTAGTTTCTAAAAGGAGGAAAACCCCGTGTACTCACCCATCTGGACAGGGCTTCTTTAATTGTTGTTGCTTTTGCCTTAAAAAGAAGAAAAAAAAAAGAAGGAAAGGCTGTGATTTGTTGATTTATTTTTACTGCAGTAATTCCCAGCCTTGGCTTCTACCATAAAGCATTCAATTCTTTCTCTGAAACTCTAAGCTATAAGCATGATTAACCTCCCAAGAGTCAAGTGATTTCTTTAAATACCTCTCAGAGAAAATACAGAAATCACTGTTTGATAGTCAAACATTTCACTCCAACTTAGTTTATAAAAAGTATATTGCTTTCAGTATTCAATATTAAAATAAATCTTATTTCACTGATTCTATACCTTTTTTTAAAACATCTTCTTTGTTTCTTGAGACATGGTTTTTCTGTATAGCCTTGGTTATCTTAGAACTCACCCTGTAGACCAAGATGGCCTCAAACTCACAGAGATCCGCCTGCCTCTGCCTCCCGAGTGCTGGAATTAAAGGCAAGCACTGCCACCACTACCCAGCCTTTTTTTTTTTTATATCTTAACATTGAAAAATGAATGTATATTCTAATTAGGAACAATTTACAGTTGCTGTGGCATGATAGCTGTGGTAACATTTTAGAAAAGTATTAATTTTATTTAATATATATTCCTTTTCCATGTCTGCAAAGGATAACCTGACAAAAAACTACTATGTGTAAATATATGTAAAATGGTAGTCAATAAAGAGTTCTATGAATAAGCACAAGAGGGCTGGAGAAACTGCTCAGTGATCAGAGGACTTGAATTTGGTTCCCAGCATTCATATAAAGCAGTTCACAACTATCTGTAACTCCAGCTCCAGGGAATCTGTATCCCTGGCCACTTACACACACACATACACACACACACACACACACACACACACACACACACACACACACAATAAAAATTAAGTGCAATGATGTAGGATGTCCTTAGGCAAGATTTATTTACTAAAATATAAATAAAATATCAATACAATACAAAAAATTCTAAGTGATAGGAGAGAACTTGGTATAATTTAATTCCAATTTGTTTTTCTTTCATAGTAGTACATAAAATGTTTCATCTTACAAGAAGTAGCATCTTTGATTCAATTTCATATACTTACAACTTTGAATGAACACAAAGGAAGATGTCCTTTATGAATTACTATTGGGGCTCATTTTTTTTAAAAAAGAGAAACCATAATCAAGAGCAAAAGAAAAAAACAAGCTACTACTACATCTAGAAAGTAGAGTACTGTACTAATAACTCTTAGGAAAACATAAAATGCTGTGGCACACCTCCATGCCCCAGTGGAGGGTGGGGGAGGGCAAAATCTGATAGGAAAAAGCTTCTATCTTCAGGTGTATAGCAAGAAAATACAGAATAAGAAAGAAATGAGTTAAGTATTCGACATACTTTAAAGATATCAGTGCAAACTCAAAAGAAGGCAGAAAAAAACAAAAAAGAAGTTAAACCCAGAAAAGGTTAATAACACTAAAAGGTGGTTCTTAAATCTTTTGCAAGCTTGATTGGGCAAAAATGAAAGATATACAAATAAAAAGAAGTATTAATAACTACATACTACAGAGATTCTAAAATTAAAATATTTAGGAGCAAAATATGGCAATAGCTTTAAGACCTAAACAAGATATGTATTCCTAGAAAAACAGGGCCCCAACTATCAAACCCTCTGAACAGATTACAATATATAAAGCATTCAAATGCTAATCAGAGGTTTTAGCCTGCTTTCCTCCCAAAGCTCCAAGACTGCATAGTTTACAGGTGAGTCCTAATATCCTCGAGAACAGGTATTTTTTTGTTTAAAAGTTGTTTCAAAAACCAGAAAATGTGGGAAAGCTGCACATTTATAATGCTATTTTAAACTGATGTCATAACCACATCACCAAGCTCTCTTTATTTTTCAATATAGATCTGATTCTGGAGACAACATCAGTGATGCATAATGACCATGATCAAGAATAGTTTATCCTGCTGGGCGATGGTGGTACACACCTTTCATCCCAGCACTTGTGAGGCAGAGGCAGGTGGATCTCTGTGAGTTCTAGGCCAGCCTAGTCTACAGAGTGAGTTCTAAAACAGCTATGTTTCTACACAGAGAAACTGTCTCAGGAACCTCCCTCCCTCAAAGTTTATCCCAACAATGAAAGGAGCAAAACAGTCAACCTGTTTTGTCAATCACTAACTAATGGATTAAAGTGTGTGTGGGGTCACATTTATCTGAGTGCAGAAAAACATAAATGTCTACTGGATACTAAAAGCTCTCAGTTAAGAGGTAAAGGAAAATCCCTACATGATAAAAGCCAAAACAAAAACAACAACAACAAAAAGAAGCTGAAACAAATACCATACGTGGGGGAATTCACTTAGTTTAACAACTGTTCACTGTGTGTTTACTATGTAACAAGCATTCTTCTATGTTGTATTTTTCTTTCTTTCTTTTTCCTGAGCACTGAGATGACAGGCATGCACCCTCATGCCTGGCTTTCTATTTGTTTTTGACAAATTATTGGGCAAAACAGATTCCTGCCTTTCTAGAACTTACATCTATTAAAATAAGTAGATATTGATGTACGCATATAAAATATGCACAAATCTGATATATAAAACATGCATAAATCTGATGTATATAGCCATAGGTATACTATATGCATGTAAAATAAATAAATATAAAAAGATAAGTAAATATAAGCAAAATAAATAATGTAATAGAAGGTAAAAGTTATTTTAAAAACTGGGAGGTTTTTAAATGAGGTTAGTAAATGATTTCAGATTATATGCATCTATGTGTAGAAGACATTTATTATAAATAAGATGGTCCATATAGACTAACTTGGGCAGTAATATTAAAATACTTTTCTCTAGGCTCCCAAACACATCAAGGATGCCCATGATCACTGATTTGTCAATGTTTTAATAAAAGAAGTACAAATTGGAATGATCTAAGGAGCAAACTAAAGCGTCACCAAGTGCAGATGGCGGTCTATGTAGAAACCCAAAAGAATGAATCACTGTTAGTACAAATGGCTCAATGAGTGAAGTTAACCACAAAGTCGGGAGAAGGTGTTTTCTACTTGAAACCAATAAAAAGACTATGACACCATCTACTATATACAAGAAACTACCAAAATTCACAAATAAAAATTTTTAATTAGCAAAACTAAACTATGAATTAACAAGACATAAATAGCCAAACCCAAGTAACTAATACAACTATGAAAAATTGTTTGTATTCATTGAAAATCAAAAAAATTCAAAGTAAAACAAAAGAATACCATATAGACACATTATATAAATCTAAAAATGTATATATAGTAAATATATATAAAATATATTACATATATATGCATTTTTGGTTTAGTAAAAGTTGCCCAGAATATATAGAAAGAGGAACTCCTAAGCAATTATGGGGTTAGTGAAAACTGCTCTACTCATTCTGCACGTGGAAAATGAAGCACACATAGACTCTTTGACTGCATACTCTTGCTTGTTTCCCAGTGAAATTCTTGCTTGGACCCATACAAAAGGGACACATAAAAGAACACTTTCACAACACTGCTGGAACAGAGTGGGAGGCAATCTAGCTACTTATTGCAATATAAGTTGCTATAGGATCTATAGGATACTGGTTCCTCTTACAGATAGGAGCCAAAAATTCCTAAGGAATCAAGTGGACATTATGCAGGGGTAGAGCTGGCCAGGTCAGTGGAGTTCATGGAAAGAATATAATTTCTACTCAGCTCCAGACAATTTCTGGCTGGTGGAACTTGCAGAAAAAGAGGTATCCTAATACTACATTTCCCCAAATATAAAATCTCCACTAATTAAATAATACATTATTTCATAAACCATTAAGTAAGAAGAGTTGCCAAGCATAGAGACATATGCCCTTGATCCTAGCACTCAGTAGGCAGTGGATCAAAAGTTTGAGACCAGCCAAGAATACATGACAAATTCAAGGCAAACCCAAGCTACCCAGAAAGTCCCTGTCTTCAAAAACAGAAAACAAAAAAAGTTATCAATTATCTAAAAGTATATTTTGATAATATTAAATGTGAATAAAAATTATGTCCACAGTGAAACATGGCACTTCTAATTTTCCAGAAAGACCAGGAACCTGAGTTTTTTTTTAATTTTGTGTGTGTGTGTGTGTGTGTGTGTGTGTGTGCGTATGTGTGTACATGCACATGTGAGTAATAGTGATAGAAGTCAGAGGACAATTTCTGAGAACTGGTTCTCATTCTCCAGCACGTGGGTCTCAGGGTATGGTGCACATACTTAAAAAGTTCAAGTACTATGTGGGCCTGCATTTCTGAAGGGACCAGGCCTACCAGTATGCAGTCAGTATGAGGGAATACACAACTTCATGATTTTAACATTCTGGGCTTAATTTCTGTGCATTGATATAGTCCTGGAAACACACACCACACACACACACACTCTCTCTCTCTCTCTCTCTCTCTCTCTCTCTCTCTCTCTCTGATAACTATACTGTTTTGCTATTTTCTTTTCTTGTGCAGTGCTAGAGATTCAACGTAGGATCTCGTTCCACCAGCGAGGTATAGTCCTACTCCCCCTCCCCAACAACGTGTTTATCTCAGACTAAGGATGACCTTCTGCCTCCACCTTCTGAGTGCAGTAATAACAGATATGTGCCACTATGCCTGATAAGTGCGGTGCTGGGGATTGATGCTGTAGCTTCACGAATGCTAGGCAAACACTCTTAACAACGTAGCTCTATCTTCAGACCCCAGTACTCACCCTTTATCAATAGCTCCAGTCGGAAGGCAACCTCGTACTTTGCTAAACAGTTTTGGCTGGGCTGGATCTGAAATCGTTTTCCAACTAATAGTTTGAAATACCAAGCATGTAAGCACAAGAGCGCGTGTTTTCTATGTTGACAAGCATCTTTAGTTAAAATCGTGGCTTCATGAGAACTTTGCCCAGACCACTGGTAGATTGCAAACCTAAACCAGTAGCGTTTCTCAAAGCGTGGTGAGTGCTCCCCAAAGTATGAATTATTTGAGCTGCATGGTCGAACATTCCTGAAAACCCCAGTCATATTAATAACCAATAATCTGCATTCCATCAAACTCATAATTATTCATATTGGAATTGGAGGAACATTGGCCTAATATATCCATCAAAGAGAGTTTTAACAGCGTCACCTAGCAACAGGACTCACACTCAAAGCCAACGAGGGCAACCGGGCACACCACAGCTTACTAACGCAGTGGCAGCAGGAGCCCTCAGGAATCAGCCCCCGCCCCTCCATCCCGCCAGGGGGTGAGGAGAGTTAAAATCACGGCTACACGAAGGGATCTCTTTATCACAGCCCCCATCCTATCACCTTTCCCACTCCAGTGCGCTTTCCCGAGAATTTCCAGCTGTCTTTCCTTTTCTTCTGTCAGAGTCCCTCCAGCTTAGCCCAACTTCCTGTCAGCCTCCGGCCTCCCTCCCCGCAGACCACCGCCTGCCCCGGCTGCTCCGGCCTCGGGCCTGCGGCTCCACGGAGCCAGCATTCCCTTTTAACTCCCATCCGTAGTGCTAGCGCCCCGCCACCCTCCACACCCCACAGTTGCCCCTCTTTCCACTCTCAATCTCCTCCCGGGTTTGACGGTGAGGCCTGGAGGGTACTCACCATTCCGGCGGTTGCTACCGTCACTGCTCTGGTTGCTAGGGCCCGCCAGGGTCAGTGCGCAGGCGCACCTCCGGAGCGCTCAGTAGGCCGCACTGGCAGCGGTCCTTTCTCCCCGCCCTTAGGGTGGCGCGAGCAGGGCATTGTGGGACTGCTGGCGGACCCTCGGGTCCTCCAATCCCGTTCCTGCGCAGCTGCTGGTGTAGACCAGAACTCAACTACCAGGGGAGTAGATGATACTCTTTCCCAGTGCCAATATTGCCTTAAGCTTGAATTTTCAAACCTACTGATAGCATTGGCATTTCTGATATAAAAGAACTTTTTTTTTGTTTTTGTTTGAAGTCCTCCCTGGAAAACCGACGGGAAAGGCTAAGCTGTCTTCGGCAATTCGCTTTGCCGTCTAACTCAGTATAACTAGAGCTACATTCTGAACTTCTCTTTTCCTTACCTTAGATCCTCCGAGGAAAACTCAGGCGCCTGAAATCTCAGCTGCACACTTAAAAGTATTCCAAAGTGTTGGTTTTGTGCAATCGGGGTTATCTTTTTTTCTTCACTAAGAAGTCAGAAAATTTAAACAGACACATATTTTAATAGAGTTGCTAGGGACATGGAGAATAGAGTTGCACATATATACAGCTGCGAACAATTTATGTCACCTTTCTGGGAAGATTGTTGGTGATGTGTGTTTAAAAGCTTTAAAAAATCCTGAACCAGTTGGGTGGTGGTGGCGCACGCCTTTAATCCCAGCACTCGGGAGGCAGAGGCAGGAGGATCTCTGGAAGTTCGTAGGCCAGCCTGGTCTACAAGAGCTAGTTCCAGGACAGGCTCCAAAGCTACAGAGAAACCCTGTCTCAAAAAACAAACAAACCAACAAACAACAACAAAAAGCCCAACATGGGTAGCCACTGGGAAGTTACAACTTTTTTGTTTGTTTGTTTGTTTTTGTGGGGTGGCTTTTCAGGGCCTGTTGATTCTGCAGGTGGAGTGGAGTGGTCAGGTAAGGGCTAAACCATTTTTTATGGCCAGGGGCTATTGCCCGGAACAGTTTGATTCAGTTCCTCATGGCCTGAAAAGTATTGGTATTTTAAGTAAAAATTCAAGTTGCCCATGCAATCTAAATGATGTGATCCTCTTTAAAACCTTTATAGTGCACATGAAGGTGCGGAAACACGTTTTTAAAGGGGGTATTATACAGGTATAGCAGTTGTTACCAGAGAATTGTGTCTCTTCAAAATTCATATGCTGAAGTCTTAATGTCTGTGTCACAGTATCGAGAAACAGGGACTTTAAGATTAAGTGGGACCATAATCCAGGACTCATGTCCTTGTAAGCGTAAGAGACACAGTCCGGCAGTGGTGCACACCTTTAATCCCAGCTCTCAGGAGGTAGAGGCAGGAGGATCTCTGAGTTTGACGATAGCCTGGTCCACAGAGTGAGTTCTAGGACAGCCAGGGCTACACAGAAACCCTGTCTCAAAAAAAAAAAAAAAAAAAGAAAAGAAAAGAAAAGAAAAGAAAAAGAAAAGAGAAAAACCTAACCGAACAACAACAAAAAACAAACCTCTAGTCAGCGATCTCTTGGAGTGCCACCAGGTCCTCCCTTTATACATCTGTGCTGAACCCTCCGCTCTAAACATTTACTGCTGTGCCAGCTTCATATTGTCAGACATGTGCTTGTCTCTGTAAATTAACTCAGCATATTTGACACATTTCTTATCAAGCTAGGTATGTGGAAAGCCTATGCCTCTAATCCCAGCACTGGGGAGGCAGAGGAAGGAGGAATCTCTGTGAGTTTGAGGCCAGCCTGGTCAACATAGCAAGTGTCAGATCCTAACCCCCAGGATGACAGTCTGGGCTCAGCTCAGGCTGGACTCTGACCCTGTGAACACTGGGCATTCCTCAGAAACCTTGTAAAATGGCTTTCTGTTTGCCAGGAAAAGCCATTACTTTCTTATCTGGTCCTACAAGTTCCCAACCTCCGGAAAGGGCCTGTAGTTCTCTATTAACTCAGACAAGCCTCCAACAGATCGGAGCCCCATGCTGGTTCCCAGGCCATGCCAGCTAGCCTGCCCTCCTGCCTTCATGTAACCCCTTATAACAGACAGGACTCTCCCACCGTTTTTCCTATCTTCTCTGCTCCCGTAGCCCTTGCAACTGCCAGTCTGTCCTTTCTCTGTGCTTCTCTCTCTGTTCCAAGAGGTAGCCAAGGCAGACTCCCCCAGATGCCTCTGGCTATTCTCTTCCTCTTAACTATGACACAAAACCTTCCCCTTAATCACGAAAGAGCTGTGCCAGTGGTTTCTTTACTGCGTGTACCGCCAGCTCCAGGAAAGCCAAGAGTACACAGAGAGGCCCTGTCTCAAAAACGAAAAAAAACTATAAAAAATGCTTTGGGTTTCAGATTTTCTGAGGCTAAACACATCCCCCTAAGAAACAAAAGAATTATACAATAGAGCTTTCCTTTCCCTTTTCCATGTTCTCTTTTGCCTTTTAAAAAATAATCCGTCAAAATCACTAAATAGACTCTAAAAGTTGTTCACCAGAAAATGTGGCTTGTGTTGGTTTGTAATTATTCAGTGAGTAAAAGGAATTTGAGAGAAAAGTTTTAAAACAGTACTGAAATAGTTTCCCGAAGCTCAGAAAATCTGGACTCTGGTAAGCATGGCTAAAATGTTAAAGGATGGCGAACTGGAACAAATGTGTTTTTAAAAAGCCTTTAATTTTTAAACAAAGGTATGTACTGAACAAAAGAGAAAAAATTGTCACATTTAACACTATTAATGGTTGTACAAAATAGTTGCAATAGCCATTCATTGTTAGCATTTTATATGGGCGAGAGGCTTATTAATAAGCTCAAATTAGAATTATCATTTTATCAAATTTCCATAGTCTGATTTCCAATTCTGATTTTGGCTGCCATTATAGTTATTTGATTGGAAAACAGCTAATCTTTCCCTCACGGTATTTTTGGTTTGTTGTAGAATAAACTTCTTTCTAGGTTTGATGAATTTGGGAGACAGATGCAGGCAGACCTCTGTGAGTTTGAGACCAGTCTGGTCTACATAGAAAGTTTCAGGCCAGGCACATAAGGAGACCCTGACTCAAATCTCAATTAATAATAACAGTAACAACAACACTAATAAAGTGAGCTCCTTGATTTCGTTGTCTCCTAGATATCGAGTGTATCATTTATTTCCCCAAGTCAATATATATCTCCTAAATAATTACCTATTTACCACAACAATAAATCAAGTTTATCCAAAACACATTTTATTTGCAAAGCAAATAGGCCCTGTATAAGGAGAAACAAACAAACAGAGAACAACAGCAACCACAATAAACCCTAACTATGACTCATCGACTTACTCACTCAGCCCATGTTCAAGGAGCGCCTAAGAGACCACAGCTCAGAGCTCAAAGGATGTGACTATCTATACTTGAACGCTGGTGTCACCTAATTGCTTGGCTGGCATAGTGCTGGGTGGGGAGGGTCCCTGATGTTGGATGGCCCGCCAGTCTAGCTGAGTACATGACCTCTGAATTTAGTGAGAGATTCTCAAAAATGAAATAAGAAAAGCGAGGGCTGGATGATATCGCAGCAGGTAAAGGTGCTTGTCACCAAGCCTGATGACCTGAGTTTGGCCGCCAGAACCCACACAGCAGAAAGAGAGAACAAACTCTCGGATGCAGCTGTAGCTTCCTTGGCTACCTCGCAGCTCACGCCTTCATAGACAGCTCAAGGACCACAACTGATCGCACGATTATCCATTAAGATAATTTGTTATCTTGGGGTTTGTTTTTAAAATTGAGTTTTTCTCATGAAAGCTGAGGCTAGGGTTTCCAAGTTTGACAGGCTGCACAAACAGCAGCAAGGCTTGAATGGCCATGTTTATGTTTTACCTAACGGCAGGACAGTATGCGAGATTCAAGATCTCATACCCAGTCTGCTGCTCAGAGAAAAGAGACTGGGAAGGGAAGCAGTGGTTTCTGACTGAAAATATTCACAGGCCACAGTCTCTAAAACCTCTCTCTGGCCACCAGGGGACACTGTTCCCTAAACGTGCTAAGTGGAAGCACCCAGGCGCTAGGACAAGTTATGTCCAAGAAAGACCATCACAGTTCACATGGAAACAGTTCAATGAGACACGGAATGAGCGGTCAGGTAGCAAGGTAAGATAACAGAAACATACAGAGGAAGTCCTCTGACTTGAAAGCCATGAAGTTTCAAAACTGAGGAAGGCACAAACTTTGGTGGGCTGTTTTCAGTTGATAGGGTGGTTTTGAAAGTTTGATCACCTTCATTTGTTTAGTAGTGTGTGGGTACGTGCGTGTCATGTGTGGACGTCAGAGGAGAACCTGTGGGAGTCTGTTCTCTCCTTCCACCGTGTGAGTCCTGGGGGGTCATCAGCTTTGGCAGCAAATGCTATTCACTGAGATATCTGCATGGCTCAACTTTGGCTATTCTGAAAAAATAAACTCTGTCTTCTTGTCGCCAGGCACAAGTATTAGTGTATTGTTTTGAATGTGTAAGAAGACCCAAACATTTATGGTATATGACTTTAATAGATTTTGTTTTTGAGAAGGCATTGAACTCTCAGAATAAAACCACGTCCTATTCTTATATGTGTATAAAAATGGTCTAGAAGGGGTTTTATCAAGTTAGCAATAGTATTATTGTCAGCTGCATTTCAGGCCAAATAATAGTCCTTTGTTTTAGCTAGTGACTGGGAGTAGGCTATTGCCACAAAGAACTCTTGAGCTCAAAGCTCAGGACACAGCTTTTATTGAGGCAAAAAACAAAACAATGACAACAAAAGACAAAACCCAGAAGAATCATAACGACATCATTGTCAGGAGTAGGTCAGGGAAACATGGTAACATTTGTTGAAGCTGTACATTCAGAAGTCATTTTGGTTATATATCTGGGCCATGGTAAGAGTCATGGAAAGTCCCGGATGTATTGCCAAAGTGGACGTGACTGCTCAGAATGATCAGGGGCCGAAAAGCACTTAAGCAGGTACAAAGAGAAGTTAGGGCAAGACAGTCACTTCAGCAGTATGTTGCCTTGGAAGAAAGCTGGGATTGGAAAATGAACTAAGAGAAATGCTACTTTTTCTGCACTTCTTAGATTTTATACAGTGAAGAATGTGCGTATTATATACATAATCTGTGTTTTCTGTTAAGTTTTGAATAAAATGTGGCCCCACATTGTGTACACACACACACACACACACACACACACACACACACACACACACACAGGCAAAACACTTAACATATTGTTAAGTTTAATTCCTGGTTAATGGGACTCTCCCGCTGCTGAAGTAATCAGCCAATCAAAACAAATTAATAAATTCAGGTTTATTCTGAGCAAAGCACTCCTGGGTGGCCCCAGAGGAAGTTGAGGAGACCACAAGGGGTAGCCACAAGGTGGGGCTTTTAATGTCCTCAGGGGAGGAGCCTCTGATGGTGGGCTTTCTCAGGGGCAGAGTCTGGACAGAGGCAACTCCAGGGGAGTAGGCTCGGGTTGGAGTTCCAACCTGAATATTCCAGGCTCTTTGGGTATGTGGATGCCGGGGGCTGGAGTGACACTTCTACCCCAAACACGTAGAAAATAAATCTATTTTTTTTAAAATAAAATGAGCATATAAAATAGCCTAACTTAAAAAAATAGCATAACTTAAGAAATGATACTTTAGAAGATATAAGAAGTCTGCATTTTGGGGGCTGGAGAAATGGCTCAGCGGTTAAGAGCACTGACTGCTCTTCCAGAGGCCCTGAGTTCAATTCCCAGCAACCACATGGGGGCTCACAACCATCCAAAATAAGATCTGGTGTCTTCTTCTGGTTTTCAGGCACACATACATAATACATAAGAAAAAAAAGAAGTCTGCATTTTCAGTTGTTAGAACGTGTAGCCAACTTAGACAAAAGCAAGCGCTCTATCACCGAGCTACAGCGGCAGCCACTTTCCTTTTGTCTGACACTTTGAGTCTAGGTTTCAATTAAGTACCCAGATTGGACTTCAACTAGCTCTGTAACCCAGGAAGACTGTGAACTTGCAATCTTGCCTCAGTCTTCCAAGAGGCTGGGATTAAAGAACCACCAAGTCCAGCTGCACAAATCGTTTTGAACAGCCAATGGTTAACCCAGACATGTATTTACTTTTCGAATCGTCTGTTAGCCTTTTCAACCAGCCAGACGTGCATTCAAGAATATTGTGTTTATCAAGGAAAAGATGACAATAGGTTGGATTTGGTTATGTTTTATCATTTAAAGATTTATTTTAAAGTGTCTAAAAACAAGAACTTGTACACATTTGGGGGTGATAATGTGAATGGGAAAAGGTCCCCCATAGAGTCACGTATTTGAATACTCACTCGGTCATCAGTTGCTGTTTTGGGGATGTTGTGGAACTTATAGGATATGAAGGCATGATGAAGTAAGAATGTCACTGGGATGGACTTTGAGAGTCTGTAGCCTCCCCACTCCCACCACTCTCCTTTTCTCTCTGTCTCTGTCTTTCTGTCTTTGTGTGAGCATGTGTGCATGTGCGTGTTTCCTCCATGTGGATAGAAAGGTGATTAGGTAGCTTCCTGCTCCAGCCCCCTGCTCTCGTGCCGTCCCTGTCATTATGGACTCTAGCCCTGTGAGATTGGAAACCATAAGTTGCCTTTGGCCACTGTATTTTGTCACAGCAACAGAAAGGGACCAATGTATGAAGTTTTGATACATAAATACATCGTACAATGTTTAAGCCAGGTTAACCATATCTCCACAAATATTTATCATGCTATGGTAAAAAAAAATACATTCAAAATCTTTTCTTCTAACTTTTTTTTTTTTTTAAACTTTTAATGATGTAAGCAAAAATATACCTAAAAACGAAGCTTCTGGAAAAACCATTTGTTCTTCTCTGTCTCATATTGTTCCTCAAATTTGACCTTGGCTTCCCGCCTTGCCTTGCGTTTCAGGGCTGGGTCCCTAAAGATATCCTTGTTGACAACAGTTTTGTCCAGGGGGATGTCCACAGAGTACCTTGTGGGCATCAGGTAGTTGTAGTTATAAACCTTCACAAAGGACTTGATCTTGGATCTCTTGGCGACTTTCTTCTTGCCCATGGCAGCTGTCACTTTTCGGGGATAGTGGTCAATTCCAGCCACCAGGGCATGGCTGTAAGGGCGGTCTGAGGTGCCATCATCAATGTTCTTCACGATGATGGCTTTGCGTCCGGAGTAGCATCCAGCCAGGATGAGCACCACTTTCCCGGGTTTCATGAACTTGTCCATTTCAACAGCGAGCAGCCGGTTCCCAGCAGAAAAAGCTTCTTCTAACTTTTGAAAACACACAGCACGCTATCACTATTCCCAGCACCCTGCCGCGAAGGACGCACACCTCTTCCTGTCAGCTGGAACTCAGGACCCTTCATCACCCTTTCTCTGTGCCCTCTTCTCTCCTCTCTCCAAACTCTGTTAACCATAGTCTCGACTTCCTTACACTCCGACTTGTTTGTTGTTTTCCTTCTGAAAAGTGTGACTGAACTCATTTCAGGTTTATCACATCTGCTGCGTGCCACTAAGTGTCAGGGAAAATGATTAGTTTTTTTTTTTTAAATTTATTTTTAAAATGTTTGAATCTAAGCTCTCCAACTTGGCTTTCGGAGCCTTCATTATGTGGCTGTCGGTTGACTTGAACTTCACACAATGTAATTCAGCATTAGTAGAAGGTAAAATCTTAGGACAAATATAGTCAAGTAATCAATGAAATCCATGGGTTTTGGGGTAGATTGATTTAGTTCTTCCACCAACCAGATTTTGTAAAAAAAAAATGTGTGTATGTGTGTGCGATTTATATGTGTGTGTCTCTCTGTGTGTATATGTGTGTGTGTATATACATGTGTGTGTATATGTGTGTGATGTATATGTATGTGTGATGTGTCTGTGTGTGTGTCTGT